TCCTCCTCCTCCTCCTCCTCCTCCCCCGATGATCGAGCATTGCTACCATTTTCATCCCCATTAACGTCTCTTTCATGCAACAACTCAGAGATCTCTCGCTCTTCATCGAAATCGTCCTCCTCATTCTCTTCCAAATCGTCCTCCTCATCTACATAGCTCCCACTTACACTTGGATCGTCTTGCCCACCTCCATGGTGAAAAAATTCATGATGGCCACCATTCCTTTCCGCCATCGATCCTTCCATATCATCCTCATCCCATTCCTCCGAGTTTTCATCATCATCACTTCGCTCTCCTCCTCCATTCTTTCCGTTCCTCCCATCCCTGTTGGACATTCTCTGACTTGGGGATTGTTCCCTCAACAAGCTTCTCCTCCCACTTGCCTCTGAGGGAGCTTGCGAGCGAGAGAGACCTGAAGAGCGAGCATGCGATCGCTGCTCGTCACCTTTCTCATCCTCTAGCTCACGAATCCTTGAGCTCAGTGCCTCTTCAATCTCCATGGCACGGTCTGCGCGGTAGCTCAGTCACGATAGAACATGAATCTACCAGCTGCATGACGCACAAAGATGGGGGACAGGAGGAGAGCTATTGCAAAGGAAGGAGCGGGGTGTGCGTGCATGCTTGTGATGGTACAGCAGAGAGGCATCACAAGTTGTGTTGAGAGAGGAAGGAAGAGGCAGAGCGGGAGGTAGGTAGGTAGGTAGGTAGGTAGGGAGGGAGGGAGGGCGAGGAAGGGGCAGGAGGTAGGGAAAGGGAGGAAACAAGGCGGGGGAGGGGAGGACGAAGCATATCTACCACACACCTGCTCTCTCCCTCACAGCACTAAGCCAGTCATTCAGCTCGTCCAGATTGCGACTTTTACGAATGATCCGCATCTGACTCTCCGAAGGCTTGTTCACTGCCGTGGCTCGTATTTCCGTGGTACGATTCGCCTCCTCTCCGCCAGCATCCTGCTCGTCCTGCCTCTGAGCATCGTTACCCGAAGGCATCGATTCTTCTTCGTGCGGCTTCATTCGCAGGACAGTTCTATGTCCGTTCGCCCTACTGGAGTCATCACGCGCTGTGCCGTGCCTCCTCTGCAGCACTTCCTCGGTTTTCTTCTTCCTCACGAGGACCAGCCTAGAGTGCATATCCGGCTCCTCCAACTTGATCTTCTGGACCAAACTTTGAGAGAAAGTCTCGGCCCATGCCCACATTCCTTCCAGAGCTCCTTTCTCCTTCATAGGCAGGCAAGTATCCGGATGGAGGAAGAGGATACCCCTGCTGATCTCCTCTCCTCCTCTCTCCTCTCCTCCTCTCTCCTCTCCTCCATTCGCCTCTCCTCTCGCTGGAATAGTCGCCCGGCCGTGTTCCCTTAGCTCCTCCTCTTCCTCCTCTCCAACTTTGAGCCCATCGTGTCTTGTAAACCTGCCTCCCCCACTACCCCCCCGAGACTATGCAAAGGTACCCCCATCATCCCATCACCACCACCCCTTCCCAACGTACACTTTCGCAAGCCCCCCCTACCCCCAAAGTTCTTCCTACCCCACCCTGCTCTTCAGTTGTCAAATCCCATTCAAATCCACCCCTCCACAAGAACGAATACCCACCCCCCTGATGGCCGGTTTGGGTCAAAACGCGCCTTCCGAGTACCCCACCCCCCCTCACAGCAATCCTCTGAGTCTGAAACACAATCAGCTAGCCTATTTTGAAACACCTCTACCCCTAGGTCATCTGACCGGTCATTTCTAGGTATTTGAAGAGGTATATGTATAGGTGGGTCACTACCCCTACCCTTCTTGATTCCGTATCGACCATTCCGGGAGTGATGAGGCGTCAGGACTCACTTTGTTCAGTACAAAAAAAGCATTGGGAAGGAAAATTTGGCAACTTGAATGCAGGCGCAACCGTGCCACTGTGCCAGTGGCGGTCACCGTCACGTTGACTTCAACAGTGACGCTGCTGTCACCCCGACTGGAAACAGCCTGCGATTCTATCATGAAGTGCAAGTATCATGAGAGGTCGATCATGAACGTCTATCATGAGAGGTCGGAGGCCCCCAGAGTCAGCGCGGCTTCCGAAGTTCACCCGACGATCATTAGTGCGGTATCCGAGTCACGGCGTCATGAGTCACTGGTGACCCGGCCCGTGCTTCAGTCGAGGAGGGGGAAGGCGTGAGGTTCGGGCTCGAGAGGAGAGCTGGGCATGCCGAAGGAGGTGGCAGGCGCCAGGGCATAGCGAGCAAAGTAAGGGATTGCCGCCCCCACCACGTCGAACTCAGGATCCAGTTGCTTGACTAGCCCCTCCACCTGAGTTCAGCACATCAGGCAGCAGCAGCAGCAGCAGAGTTCTGGGGCAGTTACGCAGTGGAGGGAACGAAGAAGACGTGAGAAGGAGATGGGAGGAAAGTGGGGAGAGGATCTTTTCGGCAGCAAGGACACAAGGGCAGCAGGGCTTCCACGAGGAGCGATGGAGAAAGAGCACAGGTGGCTTACCAGGCTCATGGTTACGATCGTAGAGGCAACGTCGCCCCGCAGATGCAGGTGATGCTTCTGGATCTTGAACAAAATCTCCCCGACAAAGTCCCCGAGCATCACCGGGCCACCGTTGGGGGCCCTGTTGCCAATGCCGATCCATTTCTGCAGGCGCATTGTGACGGGGGCGCACTTCCTGCTCCTGCTCCTGCTCCTGCTCCTGCTCCTGCTCCTGCTCCTGCTCCTGCTCCTGCTCCTGCTCCTGCTCCTGCTCCTGCTCCCCCCCCCCCCCCCTCCCGATCCTCCTCCTCCTCCTGCTCCTCCTCCTCCATCACCACAGCCACCGCAACCGCCACCACGTCCTCCTCGCTCACCTCAGTAGTTGCCCGGATGTCTTGAGCGAACGACTTCTCGTCCACCTCCTTGGCTTCGTTGAACTCCAAGAGCCTGCACACAGCAAGGGTTCAGCTGGGGCTGTTGCCGGTGGAGGGCGCGAAAAACAGCGTGGAAACAAGGCGTCACCAGTCGAAGGAGAAGGATGGGAGTAGGAGAAGCGGGGACTGAAAGTATCGGAAGGAGCAGAGGAATGGGAAGGGGGATGAGGAACAAACATAGAGGAACAAAGGTAGAGGAACAAAGATACAGGAGGAACAAAGGTACAGGGGGAAGGCAGCCGGCAGTCGTAAACAGGGATGGCACGATAGCAAGTTCTGCACGCCCGCCTTCACCTCTGCGTGAGAGTTCGGACGTTCCCCGTGCAGAGCGAGAAGAGAAAGTCATGAAACTGCGCGGCCAACACGTCAAATCGCTCCTTGCCTCGAGCGACTCTGCCACCTTCTCGCGCCAGTGCGGGTCGATGGCGACGACCACTCCCGCATCGAGGATGGTAACCTTGCCGTCTTGCTGCAAGGACAAGGCTCGTGAGACACGGCGCAGGCAGGAGGTGGGGGCAGAGGGAGGGGAAAGACCTGAGAGTAAAGGATGTTCCCTCCATGCAGATCCCCGTGAATGTAGTTGTCGCGCAAAAACATCTTCATAACCCCATCGTATATCCTGCACGTCAAACACTCAGTCCCGCTGCTCCTCGGACCGCGGAGGCAAAGCTCACAGGCTCGCAAGTTCCCGTTTCATGGTATGCACTTTCTTGTCGAATACCGGGTTCCTTAGCCCCTTGCCCTCGGAGATCTGCACAAAACCTGAAGGTTGGTCAGGAGGCACCCACTGCATTGCCCGAGGTCAAAATAGTCAAAACTTCACCTTCTCCCAGCTCAGAGAAGTACTGTGCAACTGTCTGCATTGCAACACTCGTCAGCCTTGGCATGCTGCCTCATCGATTCGCTTCACCTTCCCCGGAGCCCATGACTCTACGAGCAAACTAGGAGAGACGAGATGGTGATGTACCTGTGCAAGGCCCAGGATTACTTGACAAGCACCGACGTCCCCGGCAAGTCCTTGTACTCACCTCTGGAAAAAAAATCTCCTTGCTGACGTCATGGTCGGCAAACTCTTCATAGCTCAAGCACTTGAAGTTGTTCCCAAACTTCGTCAGGTTGTAACCCTCCCATCGAAAGTCGACTTGACGCTGACAAATGAAAGCTCGTTAGGTGGGACATGGGACAAAAGTGAGAAGGCTGGAGCATTTAAAGTTGGGGGAAGGAGAAGGATGCGAGCGATGGGGTAGATCGAGGGAGGAGGGGAGTGTTTGGTTGACCTGAAGCACAGAATGAAACTCGTCCTTCTTGAACGGAATTGTCAAGTGGCCGGCAACTTCTCCCAGAGTATTTACAAACGCAAAGATCAAGTCAATGTCGACGAAGGTCTCGTCAACGACCTGCAGCACGCGTTCAGATCATTCAGCAGGCTCCTCAGCCATGACGAGTATCATCGTCAAGTACATTCGGATGTCGAATCTTGACAGCCACATCCATCGCCTGCCCGCTCTGGGTCATCTCCGCCCGGAGGCGCGCCCGGTGGACTTGCGCGACTGTCCCGCTCGCCACCGGCCGGGGGTCGAAGAACTCGAACACGTCATCGATGGACTTGCCAAGAGACTCTTGAATGACGGTCTCGTTGTGAGCCATGTCGTGCTGCAGCCACCGTCACGAGCTCTCAAAGGAGTAGCTGCGCATGCTTGCCTGTGGAACATCCTCCCGGAGCTTGCTGAATGCCTCTATCACGTCAGGAGGGAGCATGTCAGGCCTCATCGACATCCACTGCCCAAACTTCTGAAAGCTGACGAGACACGAGGGGTCAACACCGACGTCTCAGAACCCTCAGTCTCACCTGCAGCCAGCAGCCTCGAAGGTCGAAACCAGCGAGTTCAGCCACCTCTCACGCGTCTTTTCGCTCTGATCCATGAGGTACTGAAACGTGATGAAGGCGAAGGGGGTGAAGGTCACGATCAAGAACAGCAGGCGCTTGGTAACGATCCACATGCGGAACCAGATTGGTCGTTTCTTGAACGGGTGCTCGAAGTCTTCAGGGCTGATTTCCTGCCATCAGTAGCAACGTTAGCGACAAGTACAGGAGAGGAGCTCTTGACCTCGAAAGGATGCAAGCGACTTGCTTCAACGTTCGACTGCTTGTTCAGTCTTTCATGGATCAAGTAAGATCCTGTCCCAGCAGCTACCGACAACGCCAGAATGTATCCCCACGACGAAGAACTCCTTGCGGATTGAGATCCGTTCCCAGCAGTAAACATTCGGATCTGAGTCAGATTCTGTCTTTGAGACCCCCAAGGAAAACTCTTGACTCTGATCATGGTAGAGACAGCTGCCCCTTGTTCCCCCGGCCCCCTTGCCATGTGGAGACAACTACGAGCAATGTCATGGCATTCAGTGCAGACACCCATAATGAAAACTTTCTCACCGACTCACGCCCTGCTGTTCCTTGCTGAAACGGCTGACCCTCCTCAAGGCCATTGAGCCATTGCTCTCCTTCAAGAACAACTTTGACAGGAGCGCTTTGTTCTCCAAGTTGAGAGCTATCCAGCTCGCCGACATGTTCTTCTCCACTCGATGTGAGCTGGAGTTGCTGCAGATAAAATCAGACCACAGGAGAGAGGGATGAAGAGCATCAGCGCGGTTCACCATTTCATTCCAGCCCTGATCGCGTCACGTACAGTTGACGGGTAAATGCAAAGTCGCAGCTTTGCGATGGTATGATGAAGCCGACTTCCCATCGACAACAATCGACGATGAAATGACAGGAATGGACGACAAATCCGTGATTCAGTGCTGTCAAGAGAGTCAATCAAAGAACGACTGGCATGCGCTGTCGAATTATGAACGAATGGCATCGAACAAACTCCTAACCCCTCGTCTGTCCAGTTCCTGCCTTCGGCTCACGCTCTCTGTCTACGTTGAACATCACCTATGATTGTTTCATCCTGTCGCCTGGTTGACCTCCATGTTTGCAGAAAGTCTGCGCACCGCATGGATGCGATAGGTTCAAAGGAACATGTTCCCTTGCAACCGACTGAGCGAAATCTAGGTTAACATACGAGAAGCACTACTTCGTTTCCTAGTTCTATAGGTGAAGCTCACAGAGTGGTATCTCAAATTCTTCTCTGCGTCTCTGAACTTGCTTTTTCCACTGCCTACCAGAACTCATCCCGCTAGATCTCTGCACATAAAACCCCTTGTCTGCCACATCATTGACACAAGTGTCATCCAGAGCACTTTAGCTTGCACTATTCTTCCCCACCTCGTCTCCTTGTGTCCATGGATCCATCTAACTACCTCCTTTGCCCTCCTCCTTCTCCTCCTTCCGCCAACTGCCATCCTACCCCGCACGTGGACCATCGTGTGCTAGCAACCCAATCACCCACTATACCCACCCCACCCAATTTCACTGTGCCCTTCACCACCCTGGGCTGCCACCCTGACATCTGCAAGCTCTAACAACCCCTACCCCTACACTTTCAAGTTCCCAAGCTCATTTACCCGTACATTTGTCTCACTTTTTATGTTCGAGATACCGGTACTTGTCTGTTGACCCCCCGGACAGGTCCTTGCATCCAGTGCACCTCTTATACCCCTACCCACAAGATTCTGACCACCCCTCCTTCTCCTTCTAGAACGAAAGTCCATCCATCATTCCGGTTTCATTCACATTTTTTCACTCAAATACAAGACGGGTCTGCCTCATAGTAAAGATATACTCAAATTAAAAGGCATCTCAGTCACCTAGCAAACATTCTCTCTAGAAGGGTGAGAGATATATCGGGGAACATGGTGCGAGGTCGTAGTTGACCGATCCTCGTCGCCCCTCCCCTTCTTCTGCTCCTCCTAGTTCAACTTGTTAGCATCAACCTCCTTTTCTTCCTCATCCATCTTATTCGGCTCCTCCTTCTTTTAGCCTTTCTAACTTCCGAACATCAAGGAAATTCCAGCCATGCTATCTCGAGCAGTATCCAAAGTAGATATTCTTCATCCCCATCACCCTCCCACCACGAGAAACTGTTCACAGCGAAAAATAGCAGCAGCATGTCTCTGTGGATCATTGTTGGCGTTTGTCGGGCTGGTCCTGTTGTCAAAGGATGCGCACAGGACCTTAGACATGCAGGAAGACGCCTACGACCAAGAGCTTCGAGCCATCAGATCGTCGCGCCATGGGTTGAGGTTGACAGCATTTGGAAAGTCAGCAGGGAGTGCCTGCCGCAAGGTGTGTAAGTCGCCCATGGCAAGAGGATGTGCCATGTGCAGGATACAACACAAGATGATGCTGAGCGGGAACCTCGTCGATGCGTACGGGGTGGTCACGCCGCTTCCTGGAGGAGGTGAAGGAGTTTCAGGATCGTATGAGGAGTCACAGGACACTCCGGGCTGTGTGTTGACGGGAGACACGACGAGAGACGAGCGAAGGATCGACTGCGTGAGGGACCCGGAGTGAGTTCTTCTCTTAGGATGAGGAGCAGGGGGAAGAGGAGGAGGAGGAGGGTGATTTGGGGGATTGGTAGTGTTAGTGGGGGAAGGAGGGAAAAGGAGAGGGATGCTCGGGGCGAAGGTGAATGCGGACATTGACTTTGACATTTTCCCTGCAGGTCAGGTTGGGAATCTGTTGGACCGGGAGTACTGGAAGACGACCTGTTGAAGCTCAACGACTTGGTAAGGCCTCCTTGTGCTCGACTTCATTCCTTGACTGAGGCCGGAAGTCTCCTTCTGAGATCAAGCACCGGATCCTCGTCTACTGTACCGTCCGGTATCAGGTACAGCTCTAGCACATCCACATCCCCTTTGTTCGTCCAACTCTGCTCTCACATTCCCACATGTTTCCCCTCTCGGTGTATTGAAGGTCTTTCAGGCAGAATTGTCAAAACAACCGGCTTGTTACGACGCGCTCAGCGACTATATCTTGGGCAAGCCTGAGGCAGCGCACGTGCGATGGGAGGTGAGGAGAAGGTGAACTTTCATGCTGCGACCGGTGACGGGATCTTGTAGTGGGACGATTTGATAGACCATGATTCGGAGAGTGAGTCCAACATGTCCGGGAGAGCGATGAATGTAGACGCCATTGTCGAGGTAAGAATGTGGAGGTGGACGAGGAAGGAAGGGGCGACTGTCTGACCTTTGCTTGGCAGAACTATCTGCAAAACCTGTGTCTGAACAGCGGAGACTCGCTCTCGCAGGAGGACGAGGAGGAGCTTTGTAAAGATTTTCTGTGACATGTTTGCTAAGACGCGAATGAGAGGAATTCTCATCTAGATTTAAACATCACTTGGTTACAATGAGCAAACTTCGTGAGGTGAAAATCAGTGTTGATATTAGCACGACAGCAATCTCTCACAACAAGGTCAGAGTTCCGATCAACAAGACATCCAACACGTATCATAGGATAGGTTTATGTGTCAAATAAGTAACTTCCTGTAACAAATATTTTGACTTCACCGGATGGGTGAGAGCACATAGCTCAGTGACATGGCGGAATCCAGCGAAGGGACATTCCTGATCGGAGCGACTACGGGAGTGTTGGGTTGACTGATCCTCTCCGCACATTCGGAGAGAAGGCTCAGAGCCTCGAAGGCGAGCGCCTCATCTTCCAGACTAATCCTCCGATCGCACTCCTCCTCGCACAGCCCCCTCACGCTCTTCAGGAATTCTTTCGTGTCCTCCTCGTTCTCAAGAACATCCGATGGCGCTCCATGCCCCTCGCTAGCATCGTCTGACTCACAAACTTTCCTCTTCTTATCTCCCGCGTCTTCCATCTGTTTGCTGAATTCCGCAAAGCTGGCAAAGGTGGCTCCTGCAGGGAATGGAATCGACTGTGGTAAACGCTTCCTTCCCCTATTTGCAAGGAGCATGTCAATTCAAAGTTTCAGCTAGCTGGGAGAACTGACCTTCGACTGTCACTATCAGGGAGAGAGGATGACAACATAGCTATGCTGTGCGGCATTCGCTCCGGCAATGACGAGGGCATAGCAGACAACGATGGCGAGAAGGAGAGAGAGGGCTTCTTGCTTTCTTCTTCTGATATTCCACTGCACAGGGGTAATGAGAACAAAAGAGCTTGTCTCGAGACGATTTCAACACACTTCGGAGCTGAGCAAATCGAGTCGATGGATCCTACTCGTATTTCCTTGACATCGTTTATCTGTAAAAGTCGTCAGCCCTCAAGCAAACACAAGGGTCACACCTACATCATCTGAAGATGTTTGAGCTTTACTCTGTCTTAGCTTGCGAATAGTTTGAATGGTATTGAGAAGGATTGTATTCTTGTCATGTTTCCCTGGCCCCGAGTTTCAGAACACAACCGAAGGGAGTTTCAACGCAAAGGAAGCAACCTGAGTCTGGCAGCAGAGCTCTCAGCTCTTCAAATAGTTGTTTTGCCATCTGTCTCCTCCTTTGTTCTACCTCATTGTGGCTGCTTCATCCATCAGATCCTGGCATCACAATCGCGTAAGCAGACCTTAGCGCCTTTGACGAGTTCATTTCTTGCTCAATGTCTTCCATCTCGAACTGAAGCCCAGACTCACTTGCCTGTTTGACAATCAGTTGATAATTTCTACCATGCTTGATTGAAAAACAAGCACCGCACCTCGGGCGAGTTCCATGGACTCGTTTTCATGCCTTTCACGTCCTTCAGGAAGTTGATCGCCTCCTGGAGTATCCTGAAACAGAGCATCACAGGCGAGGCAGAAGCGTGGCAAATAACTCACTTGTTCCTATCGCATCTGATGTCCTTGTTTGGTAAAAGATCACGAAGCTGATCGAAGTATTCCTTCGCCTTCATTCTTCTGTATTGCTCGACTTGCTTGTGTGACAGGCGCACGCTGCTATTCATCTCGAAGGACTAGCATCGCAGGATTACCCAGTGACATCTCAGACACAAGTACTACACACCACATCAGACATGTAGGTGCTGTTGGATCCGGGGTAGGACGAAGGCTTCCCCGATTGAAGGGCACGAAAATCGATCATTCGCGACGGATCCCGCCGAGTGTTGGGCATTTCCGTTGTCGACCTCTTGCTGGATAAGACAGAAGCCGCACTCATCATCGTATTCGCTTCTGCAAAACAGAGAAATGGTCAGGTACCAGGGCAGAGGTTTGACAACGAGCGAAAAAGGGGAGTTTCTACATTCCGAGGATTTGCGTGCGATGCTGCGTCAAGGCAACTTCGCGGGGCATAACGAGGAGAACCTCGCAAAATGTGACCATCTAGTGGCTGCAGAAATATATAAACACCCTCTCTCCTGCTTCCTTCCATGGTTTGATCCTCAACTCTCCCTCCCCTCCCCAGGCAACGCATGCCCGCCAAGTGCGTCATCGCAGGTCCTTGATGCAACATCTCCACGAGATATCGGAAGGGGTTGCCCACGCAACAAAGGTTCTTAAAGTTTTAGTAACAATTTCTCATGAAGTTCTATGTATTGAAACTTAGATACTCTAGTTCAATTCAAAATGGAAATTCAGAGCCTCTGCTGAAAACTGACGGAAAGAGAAGGTTCAAAGCGGGACTCAATAATCGCCTTTTTAAATTAAGAACTTGTTGTAGGCCAAGATCCAGAATACAATGTTGGTACCGGTTCTTTTGTACGTCACAAATTCATTACCACTAAAATATTTTCATATCTATTTGATATTTCGATGGGTACAAACAGCCTCCAGTCCGAAGATATTAAAACAATTTATCAATATAAATACCACTTAAAAACGAGACTTGACGAGATAAAATTTATAAGATGTAAAATTTTGATTGCTTTGGGTACACGATGCTGCTATTACCTTTTTGTTTATGTACCAAATGATTCAATTTTGGTACACAATTTAGCCCCCACACTTTTAAGAGGGTGAGTGTGCTCGAATCGTTCAAGTTTTGCAATGATTCGTATTGCGCCTGTTCGCGCGAGGCACCAGGACGTGGCCTCCCTCCCCCTTTACCTATCCCAACGACGATCCACCCACCCCAACAAGGGTTCTGCTCCCATATGACCCTACCCATACATCATCCAGCCAGAAGTAACCTCACCTACCCTATTGAAACTATACACCACCCCAGTGGAACCCTGCCTATAGTTTACTACCAACAGTAGATGTAGGGATGGTCCTACACCTACACCTCTCTCTCAGGATCATCCTTTATTTGCCTCACTTACTGTACCCCTACCTACTAAAGGATTCCAACTGATTCACTACCCAACCTTCGCTCATAGTCGTAAAACACGGACCTTCCCTTACTTCAGCACCCTACCTGTTGCATGTACTACCAACCATTAACACACCCCACTCCGAGGGGCAAGGCTTCACAAAACGCTGTCTTTCCACTCGTAGAGCTCTGACGAACTTGATTCCTAGAGCCCCTGCATATCTTAATTACGCCATTGGTCCATCAAGGGGATCCTCGTACATTTGCGTATAGGTATGAGGGCAACCTCTCTATGACATGAAATTGATCTGCAACAGAGCACCCTACCGTATTCCGTCTACTGCACCCCCACCCAGTGCGATTCCATTTCAATACCACCCACCCTCGAATGCAGATGTTCAGGATTGAACTCACTACTGACCCTCATACATCCCGGTCATCATTCACTCTGACCCGCACCATTTTACAAGTTTTATTATGACGGTTCCTGCTGTAAGGTTACGGGGTCGTAAACTGTACGCACCCCCCCCTTCCACCCACCCACCCACCCAGCCGGGCCTGGCCGGACTGCCAGGGGCGGGCGGCGCCGCCCGCGGCCGCGCCACCGAAAACTTCCCGGCGGCGACTCAGATGATGATCCGTGCCGACCCGGCCGAGCCAACCGTGGCGTCAGGATTGCCATCCGGGCCGGCCAGCAGTGGGGCCCCGCCGCCGGGCGGGGGCCGGGCCGGGGCCGGCCGGACCGTACTGTACTAGCCACGGTACGGTACCCCGGGCCCCGGCCGCCGGTGTGACTCCCGGTGACTCAGGTCCGCGGCCGACTGACTGTGACACGATGATCGCCCGGCCGGGAAGCCGTTACAAGGCCCACTGTGACCGGGCGGCCAGCCTACAGTCCGACTAGTGTCACCACTGTGACCCGACGGACGCGCCGCGCCCGGCCCGGCCCGGCCGTGACCCGGCGGCCGGGCCGCCCCGGCGGCCGGTGGCCGGGGCCGGGCCGCCGGTGCCACGGCCCCCGTGGGCCGCGGCCCGCCGCCGGCGACGGTGATCGGACCGTACGGTAGTACGGTGGAGGCTTCCTTGAAGGCCGGCTTCGGAACCGGGCCGCCGTTCAACGGAAGTTCACTGAGTCAACGGTTGGCGCAAGTGGGCCGGGCTCAATCATTCGAGTCAATTGATCGCCGCACGGCCCGCCGCCGGAGGCGTCCGTCGCCGGGACTCGCCTCAGTCCGGGCCGTGATGACGGATCGGATTGTGATCCGATCCGCCGTGTGACATACAGCGGCCGCCTTGCGGCTCAGCGGGCGGAACCGTCTGACTCCGGCACTGTACGGTACCGTGGCGCCAATCGACTCGGCGATCAGTGATCCCGAACGGTTCTTGCCCCCGAACAGGACAACTTGGCAAAGAGCTATGTCACTTTCATTGGCAGTCCGACGTTCGACACACTGGAGCTATGACGATGGTCGCAGCCAGGCTTGAGGGATGAGCCTGAGGCAGAGGAGAAGGTGACTTGATGTAGACGCTCAGAGCAACAGCCCTTGTCACAGTGTAACTGAGCGAATGTTTCATGAATTTTCTTATTCAATATCCCTGTATCCATTCCCACATCAATACCGGGGACTTTTTAGGAGCGTTTATTTACAAAATTCGACTCCTTCTTTGCTAATTGTCTACCGCTGTACATGACAAACAAAAACAAAATGCGCGCTTTGGAACCTATGAGTTACCACCATGGATTTTCTAGGCTAGGAAGGTCCACTGGTTGCAAACCATTTGATTTCCCGATACTAATTTCTATGTTTTGGATTGTATTCCATAGACACTTAAGTTTTCTTTGCTTTGAGTATGAGAAGTCTATCCATTCTTGGGCTGACACATGGAATGGGAGAAAGTTGTCATGAGATTGGATTGTTTCAATGTCATAGTCATCTTGAGCAGTCGAGGCTATGAGCGTACCGAAGCATGGCTGGTCAGCGTGCATACGAGTGGTGGGGCTTTTGCGGGTTGATTGTTGAGTGGCAAGAGAGGAGGATGGTAGGATGGGGGAGAGGATGTTTCATATAACAACACGGAAGCAGTGAAATGCAAGTCAAAAGATCGCAACAATCGCAAGGAGACGGAAGCCGAGAGAGCTCGGAGATGCAGAAAAGAATTATCTATTTTCGCAAAAAAACATATTGCACGTCATCTGGTGGGTCATGTGATAGTCCAAGAGGTCGCCGGGTCACGCGGAAAGGGATCTCGCAACGTTTGCCACAGCTCGGAACACCTGTCCTATGTCGTAAAATTGGTATCTTGTTGTAAACAACAAACGTATAACTTGATTAACACTCGTAAACGTTCCCTGTTTTGGCCGCAGTTGTCTTCTCTTCCTCAATGGGCAAATCTTCTATGTGTTGTAAAGTCCCAAAATGACAACTCTTCGGTGCATACAACGCTCATTGGTTGCTCTCGTGACCACTCGGCTGATTTGCTGACCTCTGTGTTGTAACGAAGGAGGTCATTTTACTACACACGACATAAAAGGACTGTCACTGCGCGAATCTCCCACTTCCTCTGTCCCTCGCGTTAGTTGCGGTCAACCACTTTCCCGCACTTCTTCCATCTCCTCCCTCGTTTCATAGCTTTGAGGTCCTCTCTGATACCCTACCTGATACCCTACAACCCTTGTTCAAACATGATGTCTTCAAATCAGCCTGCTTTCGATAGCCTTGCAGCCACAGAGCCACAAATCGATGAAGCCGAGTCTTCGTGCTCTGATTGCGAGGAATTCTTGGTGCCGTTTGATCTTTCAAAACAAACATGGTCCGAATTCTCCTCGGTCAAGAAGAAAAAGCTCATGTGCTTGTGGGAATGCATAAATTTCTTGGAATCCGAAATCAGCAAAAGGAATGAAGGCGACGTAGTAAAACTACCAAGCATTGAAAACTTGACGGTCTTCACCAAATTTTAGCCTTAATGTTGTAGATAATCATGTGTATTATAATGAATTCAAACCAGATTCACCACCACCCTGCTCAAACTCTGAACCAACACTTTGTGAACAGATACTACTTGCTGATAAGCTCAAGTAGAACTGGTCTCTTGCGGTTTCTTGATCTATCTCTCCTTCAACTGAAAAAGTGTGGCAAGGCATCAAATTCGATCGAAATACTCGCAAACGCTCGACAAAACTATGCAAGCAAACTAATGAACAAAGAGAGCAGAGGAGTCGGGTGTGCATGGCAACGGTCCGTGCCAGGTTGCTTGAGCAGGGCAGGGCAGGGCAGGGCAGGGCACTGGCCGCACTGGCAGAGCACTGGCAGAGCAATGACAGAGCAGAGCAGAATAGGCAGAGCAGAGCAGAGCAGACTGAGCAGAGCAGGGGATTCACCTGGCCGGGCACTAACTTGTGTCAGCTCGCTTCCGCCGTTACTGAAGTTCTTTCTGTCGAAGAGCAGTTATGCGTGAAACAGATTATACCTGCCTCAACCGACCAAATCCGTTTTGGGGGACTCACCCCGGAACACTGCGCCATGCGCTGTCAAGAACGCGCCGGAGACAAGTACAGGGAATAGTTCTTACCTGTTTGTTTATAGCAAGTTCTTGTGAACAAAGTTCAATCTCACGTCTAAGCTTTCCACTTGGTCATTCTTGAGCTCCATGCGTGCTAAAGCACTTTGATATTTCTACTCGATCTAAGTTTGTTGCCCGGAATTACTTCGCTGCCGGGGTCACGTTAGATCGGTCACCCGAAGTTTCGGAACATGTGACTAAACTTTTCAATACTCAGGCTGATCCGAGTGTCACTGAGTGACACTTTCCGAGTTCGGAAGTTCTCTAGCTGCATCTTCTGTCCGTCGGAGTACTCTGACCGTGTCAGCACGGTTGAGTTGGGCGGCCCGTACTGAGGCGGAGGCTTGCCCGGCCGCGGCACTGCTGCGGCCGCGCGCGGCCAGGCCGCCCGGCCCTGCGGTGCCAGGTGACTCGGACCGGCCCGGCCCCAGGCCGGCCCGGCTTACTAGCACAGTGCTCACAGAGTACGGTCCGCCGGACGGTACGGTCAGTTGAACCGGTGACCGGCGGCGGCCGGGCCGGCGGCCGCTCAGTGCCAGAGTGCCGCACTGCACTCCTAGCTCAGGTGACAGTGAGAGTCACCGTGCCGTGTTCAACTGAACGGTTCCGAGGTTCACGGAGTCGGAGGGCCGGCGGCCGTGCCAGAGAGTCCGAGAGTCTCAGTGTCTGGCTGGCCGGCCGCAGCGGCACGGTCCGATCCCGGCCGCGCCATCACCCCGGGGGTGTGCAGTGCGGGCCCGCAGGCCGGGGGCCGGGCGGCCGCCGGGCGGCCCGGATCAACTTTCATCTGACTGCGCGGCCGCAGGTTGGGCCCGGCCTCCGGCCGCCGCCGGCACCCCCCCCCCCGGGCCCCGGCCGGCCGTACCCGGTACCGTACCCCGCCGATGATCGGATCGGATGGTACAGTGACGGTGCCACGGACCGCGGGTCCGTCCTGAGGTGGACCCGCCTCGCTCAAGCGCTTCCTGCGCTCTCGTTCTCTCCCCAGCGTTGACACCCTGACGGTCTGAGGGGAGGAGGCGATCAGAGACTGAGAGGGGCAGGATGGAGGGGATTGTGATCCCTGACGACGAGTCGAGCATCATCCAGTCCGAGGGGTTCCTTCCTTCGGGTCAGATAGACAGCGTACAGCTGGATATGTCACAGGTTTGCTCTACATCTCGGAGGTTAGAGGCTTTCTTGCTGACCCCTTTGCTTCCTTCCCTGCCAGATCGTCAGGCTTTCTGTCATCGGCTCGATGCTCCTCGTAGTCCTTATCCTCTCCAACTTCCTGGCATGGAGGAGGTACTCCAAGTCCATCACCTCCGTGTTGTCCGAGATGCCAGCGGAAGCCAGCAAGCCCAAAGGCGCCGGCCCTGTGACTCCAAGATAAGAAGAACAAAGGTCTGGAATGTTGTAAACTTGTATCAGGAAGAAACCATGGTCTGCGGGTTTTATTGTTGTCGAATCCTGCTGAGGGACGGACACATAGCTGTACGAGCTTGCTTCCTGCAGCTCGTCATCTGAGGCATCTTCTTCCTCCAGATGTTCAGTTCACAAGGCTCTGCCATGGCCCATCCATGCCGATGTAAGGAGGTATGAACCCCTGCATGCTGGTCAGCACGGTGAATAAACGAGGATACCAGTACTTTGCGCGCGGCTGAAAGTTCTAGAGCCTGAGAAGCATGTCAATACTGCAAGGCTATGGATGAGAGAGGGAGAGTGAATGGACAAGAGTGAGTGAATGGACAAGAGAAGGAGGGAGAGAGGGAGAGGAGCGAGGGGAGGGAGGGAGGGAGGGAGAGGAGGGAGGGAGGGAGGAAGGGAGGGAGGGAGAGAATGCTCTGAAACTTTGAAGTTGAAGGTAGGAGAGAGGCGACAGTCACGGCTCAGAAGCTTGAGAGCAGAAGACGGAAAGGAGGGGATGCCACGGTGATGTTTCGCACCAGCAGGCTAAATGCGGAGGAGAACTGGCCGATGAAGTAGTCGCAGTCCCTCAGGAGCAAGAGATCAACCTGCACCCTTCGTCACTAGACCCTTTGCCCTCCCTTCCCTAGTAAAAGACCAGACTCGCTTCCGCAACTAGGCGCCTGTCTATCAGTCCCATCCTTGTCCAGCTTATCAGAATGCAAAGAGGAACGCATGCAACTATTTTCCAACCTTGTTCGGAGGATGGGGTTTATCACTTGTGGGAGGGTTCCTTTCAGCTCGCCCGCATGTCTCCTCTGTGGCAGAGTGAGCCAGTCGACCTCCGGATGCAGTTGACGAAGTTCGATGATGATGTCTGTATCAATATGTTCATCATCAGCTTGAACAAGCAAAGCCTTTCAACTCGGATCTTACCGGCATTGTCTGATGCAACGAAGACCGTCCTTACTCCATACAGATCTGACATGTTTCTGACAGCCTGTACATAATCTCCTGGAGCAGAACATTCACTACACGTGATAGAACATGAGGTGGATATAAGATCGACTAAAGCTGGGACAACATATACACAAGAACAAGAGTACAGAGGGAAGGACAACCAAATAATCGCACCTGTTTTGAAGCATTTCCTTCCCGTCCCAGCATGGCAAGAATCTCCCTGTCGAATATGGACCCCGATGACAGGAGAACGGAAGTTGACTGCTGCCTTTGCCTGTCTCACAAGATTCTTCATCCTCAGGTTAGGCTGGAGGATGTAGTCGGCCGCTGAAAAGAAAGTCAGACCAGAACAGCGAAGGACTTAGGCGGGAAGACCATGAGATAGGAACCAGAAGGTGCTCTCGGCTCGAAACATGGCTGGGTTTTGCCGAAGATTGAAGACTCGAGAAACGCCAATGCGATACTCATCCATCGGGGGATCTAAAGGCAAGTTTCACATTGGGGGATCGCGCAAATTCTATGATCCGTCACCATCAACTTCGTCGGCGCTCTTTGGCCGTTCGTACAGTCTTCCTGAGCTGGTGTTGCACGAAAAAACATTCTCAAAGTAACATGAGATGTGTCCGCTTGGACAAGATCTGCAGAGCACGATTAGGAAGACATTCGGTGGTCACATAAATGTCCATAGCATCGCATACCTGTATGTTAAGTACTCCCAGTGTCCCTCAAACACAAGGTGTTCCTGCTGCGCCATACTGCGCGCGATAGCAAGCAGAAGAGCCCGGACGTTGGTTCCAAAGGCACTCGCAATGTCCCCTCTGTCCAAAACATGTCACTTTCTCGTGTTACCTACTGAGGATATGAAAGAATTCCTGAAACGAACAGCAGAATTGCACCTGGCAGCATCAACAGGTTTGACGACATTATCTATCGCCTGAACAACGTCAGCGTGATTCCAGCAACTATGCCTGATCATATCGTATTACCTTGTAAAGCTCCTCCACTCTTTCAGTGAAAGCCAGAGTGTTTGCGCAACGATGTATTGAATGCAAGGGATCAATCGTAGGCAACCAGGAAGCATCCCGCAGCATGTCGTGCCCGCATCCCTCTACTGCACCTCCATTCCCGCACCTCTCATCCATGTTTCCCTCTTCTTGGCATTCAGCAACGCTGAAGTCACTCTCGAAGGGAACATAATCGAGCTGTTGATTGATCTCAACCGTCGTACTTGTCTCAGCACCTGAAAACTGCTTGTACCCATCCAGCAGACGAATGTTGAGGGTGTAGTTGCCGACTGGGAAGTCAACATCTTCCATCACCACCATGCTCTGGCTGGGTTGAACGTAGTTGTCAAGCGAGAGCTGTTTCTCTGATCCCCACGTAAACCTGAAGAATCTTTCAGCATCGCTTACAGAGGTCAGGCTGATCTCAAGGAAGAAGCGAGGATAGCCGAACTCATGCGCCTCCTCCTGTTCCGACAGCTGTGAGATGAAGAAGAACGGAACTCCTTTTCTGAATGAGAACCCCGGCGACGGAAAGCTCAAGGAGATCGAGGGCTCATGGAGAGGAAGCGCACTGAACTGGAATTCTCTCTCCTCAACCGTACCGTCCTCCCGATCCACAACATACTTCCAGGCGAGATTCCCCCGATAGATCCTGACCGGGACTTCAAGGAGGTCGGACTCGCACTCGCTCACAGAGGTGGTCTTGCCGCCTATCACTAGAGAGAACTGGCGGGCACGAGCAAATCCTGCACAGTTGATTTGTACAACTAGGTAGAAATCTTGCAGCTCTTGGAACGAAACGCGGTATCCAGCATGTGGAACGATCTCCTTTAGGCACTGAGAGGATGCGGATGGGTCTACCGGCTCTGATCTCACATCAAGGCATCTGCAGATCACGAGCAGAGAGATCAACCTGACGAGGAAGAGAGGAAAACATCTTCCAACTCCAACTCCCAGAATGCACATTCAATCGACGGGATTGATCTGCCAATCCAACGGATTCAATCGATATCTCCTTTTAGAAGATGCTCTGTCTCGTCTCAGTGACTGGGTGCAGTTTTCAAATGCACTCTTCTGAAAGCCTCACTCCCCGTCTCTTTCCCGACTGCTGAACAATCCAAGGAAGATACATTCTTAGTTCCTTCTGGGCTGGCACCTAGCATCATGACAGGTCATTTGCTGTGCTGCGCTGATGCGATATCTTGTTCTGCTCTGTCCTCTCCAGTCCCGTGCCCTTCCCTGCCCTTCCCTGCTCTATCCTTCCTCCTCTCGTCCCATCCTTGCGCCCGATCTCGACAAAGAGATCTATGTCTAAGTTTGAACGCACCGCAAATTGAATTTGAAAACGCCCTCCCAGATTTGAAATTAATTCCACGCCTAGAGTTCCCGGATCCCATGCTAATTTATCATTCACCCCCTGTTTTAACATCAATAGTACCGGTGATGCTTCCAAAACCTATCACCCCGACCCCCTATGAAGACATTTGCCTTTCCCGCGCTTTACAATGCAGTTTGTGGCCCCGGCCATCCCAAGGGTGCGATGGCACGGGGATGGGAAGCGGCAGCATGATGATGAGGAGAGATATGTAGAGACTGTATGATTCTTCTTCGACAGAGATGAGGAGATGTTCTTCAAGTCCTGGCGGATCTTGACGCGAACATGATTATGGTTGGGATCTTGTGACCGGAGATAGGCAGCAGTTTTCAGTGACGATGGGTAAGAACGCTCCCAAGAAAGCAAATCAAAAGAATCTGATCAGCAACTACTTCAACGATCAAAGTGCAGTGAAGAAGGAGGAACAGGCGAATAAGGCAGGTGCAAAGATTCCCACGTTCAATGGGGAACCAGAAAGGAAACTGGCTCCTCCAGAACGTGATCCCCCCGAGTTGAATGTGAATGGGGTTAAGGAGACCAAAAAAGTCTCGAATAACATGTGTATTATTTCCGATAGTGAAGACGACTTGCCTCTCTCGGCGTCGAAGCCAAAGGCGGATTCTAAGAAGGAAGCCCCTACAAGTGTGAATAACGTGACTATCTCAAAGCAATTCCATGATTTCTCAGGGTTGAATGGCAAACATAGCAGGGTCGAAGCTGCAAACCTTCTGCTCAAACAAGCCTTTGGACTCAGTGATTTCCGTCCACTTCAGAAAGAAGCGATACATAACGTGCTGGGGGGGAAAGATGTCATTGTCTGCCTTGCAACTGGAGGTGGGAAAAGTTTATGCTATCAGCTGCCAGCACTGGTTCTTCCAGGAGTCACAGTTGTCATTTCTCCACTTATTGCTCTCATGCAAGATCAGGTATTTTCGCTGCGAGAAAAGGGTATCGATGCTGTACTTCTGAACTCAACCTTGTCCCCGACCGAGACAAGAAACATTCTCCATCGATTGTGTCCTGATTTCAATTCAAAAGGGTCCCAAACCTCGGAGACCAAGGCTGCAAAGGTATCTGCAGAAGGGGCCATCAAACATTCCCCGATTAAACTTCTTTACGTAACACCCGAGGCACTGAGTGGCTCAACGCTTTTTCCATATTTGAACAGACTGAACGAGCAAAACAAGCTATCTCTCTTTGCAATTGACGAGGCCCATTGTATATCTTCATGGGGTCATGATTTTCGACCTGCATTTAGAAAACTATCCATTCTCAAGAGGTTCTACTCAAAGGTTCCTGTGATTGCCTTGACAGCTACAGCGACCAAGCGAGTGCGTGACGACATCGCCTCAACCTTGATGTTGAACAACCCGGAGTTTCTGATAGCCACATTTAATCGACCAAACATCACATATGAAGTGCGCTTCAAAGAACAAGTCCCTGACTCCGATGTTCAAGGTGACATTGCGAGATTTCTTTCAAAAATGAAGGGCCAATGTGGGATCATTTATTGTTTTAAACGGACAGAATGCTCTGAAATTGCAATGTACCTGAAAGGCAAGGGATTTTCTATTGAAGCATATCATGCTGGACTTAAGAATGACGAGCGCTCTGAGATTCTTCAGAATTGGACTGAGGGGAAAATACACATTGTAGCTGCTACAGTAGCTTTTGGAATGGGGATCGACAAAGCAGATGTGCGTTTTGTCATACATCAAACTATGCCAAAATCTATGGAAAGTTTTTACCAGGAATCTGGGCGAGCAGGACGGGATGGAAAACCTTCCGTTAGCGTATTATATTATTCTGAAGATGACAAGTCATGCCATGAATTTTTGATGTCAAAGCAGGAGGAGTCCTTCAGGAAAAAGATGCAGGAAACAAAGGGTTCAATCCCTCAAGACGATGCCGTGGGAAAGTCACGAAATGCCTCATTTCATGCACTTGTTCAGATGTGCGAATCACCTAAGTGCAGGAGGAGAACAATCTTGGAGTTCTTTGGCGAATTCTGCAAACAAGACATATGCAAAAGGACCTGTGATGCTTGTATCGATCCAAAGAAGGCTAGTAAGTCTATCCTGGCCATGGCAGACATCAAGAATCAAAGAGTGGGCTATGGTCGCAGAAAGGCGGACTGGAGAGATGCACATTCTTCAGACGAAGATGTTCTTCCCAAAAAGCAACAAGCTGGACTTTATTGCTCAGACGAAGACAGTGACAATGAGCTGAGGAACTCCTCGAGGAAAAAGCCCCGAATCGAAGAAGGAAATGCTTTGCGGCGCCGATTGCTGAAGAAGACGCATGGAATACATGATAGCGACGATGATTCCGACGACAGCAACAGACCCAACTATTCTGGGAAGAAGCAATCGAGCTTTTCAAGTAAGAGCCATGGTGCGAAATCCTCTGTTTTTCATGGAAGCAAGGCCACGAATGGTTTTGCCATGGCGTCTACTTTGCTGAAATCACAAAGCAATTTGTCGGAAAGCTTCGGATCCAGAGCATTGCAGGAGATTGCAAAGAGGAGCGTGCAGGAGCAGAACAGAAGGCTTCTCCCTTCGGACTTGGTTAGTTACTTTAGCCCACTCTGTGATTGGTGCCAATGATCACCAAACATCGCAGGCGATGAGAAGGTCAAAGGCAGCAGAATCGATCAGTGCCAAGGTTTTCTCTTTCGTTGTTTTCTGCCATTGCTAACTTGATTCCCAGGCATCTTCCAACTGCTATGGTTGATGGAGTGGGAGCTGCGTAGTTTCAGCTGTGAGCTAACTCCCAGCAAGATAAGCTCTGATCCAGCTGCGAGCCAGAGATTTGATGATGCCAAGGATTTGGGTGGAATCTCAGTACCTCAGGACACGTTCTTGTTGTGATACATATTTATTGATATAACAATTCCGAATTCCAACTTGCATGATCCAGGGGCACCTTTCAAGACAAAATATGTCAGACAAACAAACACTCCTGGACAGACACATAAGCATCATTGTCTTTCAAGTGTGAACAGGGGAGCAAGTGTGTAGGGAGCATTCGAGAGGAGGCCTTCATGGCGAGGGAGGCGTCCACGGAGTTGCAACCGTCTCTCTAGCAACCTTTCAAAGGCCCCACACCAGCCACAGCGAGCTTTCGGCATGGGGTTTCTGCCAGGTGCATTGTTTGGCATAAAGAGCATACACATGGGAAGTTCGTAAACATTTCTTGCGCAGAATCATGCACAGATGCATCAATATATTCAATGCCTAGGTATTCCTCAAGAAATACAATGATCACATTAATCATCAATATCTCTTTGTTTGTTGTCTCACCATCCCCATCCCCAAACCCATCCCCGTCCCCTTCCTTCCCTCTTTAACACATACTCGCCGCCATTACCTCGATGCACCACGTGCGGATTTGCGTCTGGAGTCAACAGATAACCTACCCCTGGTATTGTTTTATTTTGCCCTACCCCATCCAGAAATATTCTATTGATTCCAAGGATCTGAACCGGTCATCTATTACCCCTACCTATCAAAAAAATGCAGTGGTTCATCAAACCTTGTACCCCGCTCTTTTCTCTCAAAAGAGGGGTACTTGAATTTGCTGAACGAAAAGCCGTGGAATATGCTGGTTTGGCCGATGAGAAGCTTGTTCGCTGGGCAGGTAAAGCAAAAGAACCATCAGTATGCGATGGAGAATTGATGTGGAATCTAGAAGTATTGATGAAGAATTGATGTACAATGTAGAAGTGCTGCAAAAGAATTGATGTAAAAAATAGAAGTATTTGTCTTCTTGTCATGTTCTCGGGCTTGATTGTAACCTGCATCACGGATAGAACGCTTTCTGCTGCACCAGATTCGTGAAATATGTTTGTATCCTGAAATTCGTATCCCTGATGATGATATCGGATGGTTTGGAGCATCGATGATCATCAGACGACCAGAAATCGTGATATCATGTGCAATATCCCCTCCGTTCAGGAGGAATATTTATCCGTATCCCGATGAATGTGCACATTCTTTGTCAAGTCACAACCATTGCTTACTCCTTTTTCTCCAGCCTCCCTTTGGGATGCCACATGTGAACCCGACCATTGAGACTTGGGGAGCCGGTGATTACACTCAGCCATACGAGCTCTCACCTGTAAGCGCTCGCTTGCTGCATGCATCGGCTCGATTTAACTTCATAACTAGGCAACCTTGAAGAACTCTGGTTACGTTGGTGTCGACAACGAAATTGGGTAAGTTTTGTGTTCTTTAAATTCTTTCTTTGTCCTTTGATAAGTATGCTACATACACATGGCTGGGTATCTGTTCATCTGATCCAGGTGTCGCAGATCGCCTACTTACTTCATTGCCTACGATGGAGTGAATGGACCTGACGATGGACATGCCTGGCTCCAGAGCCATCCTTTCTATTAGAACTTGCTGTAGTTTGTCTGTAAATGCGGTATGTGCAATGAAGCCATGAATTTATGCATGCGCAATCCATCACCAAATCAGAATCTATTCAAGTTCAATGAAAGTTTAATATGTTTAAAGGACTTGAACAAGGATAGTTTAAAGTAGAAAAGAATAATGGAATGGAATGTTGAATAGAAATGATAGTAGGGACATAACTAAAACACAAACTGCACCTTCCTTGAGAAGTTAATCAGATCTGACTTGCGCGATTTGGTGGTAAGCTCAGTTGGGGATGAGGCCATCGTTGTCCGCATGGAGTCATCACTGTCCGATGAGGGCAGGATATTTTCTTGACAGTCAACTCTCCTTTTCTTCCCGCCCAACTTGATTCCATCGAACTTCTTCAAGCTCTCTATCGACTTCAGTCGGATGACGTCCTCACAACCTCGCTTCCTTTGCTCATCCAACTTTCTTGCAACTTGTCTGTAGCAGTTGGTTGCACTATCGGCAGAATTCAGTCTGACAGCATGATACATTCCAAAAGTGTAAGCGCTTGCCAACAGGGGGCTTACATTGGCCTTCAGAGCAAAGCAGCTGGGATTAACAACTAGCTCATCCTGTTCACAGGAAACCTGATCTGGGACTTTCTCTGGTAATTTGTGGAAAGGTACTGCATTCAACTCCCGTACAATGGGAGCAGTTTGTGGAGCATGCTTCGCGCATTCCTCATTCTGACCACTGCGAAGCCAGATCTTTGCTGACAACAAACCACGATCTACAGCTCCATCGACCATCGAAGTACGCTCGAAGGTTTTCATCTCAGCCCAGTCCAGCCCTTTGATCTGTTCACGTGCCTGCTCCCAGGTAGAGAAAATCCCAACGTTCCTGCCGCGTCGCACTGCGTACCATTTTTGTAGCGAGCTAACTTCACGTGCTACCATCATGCGTACCCAATGCTGCGATGGCGGGGTACAGTTGGTCCGATTCAAGTTTCACAATGGAATTGTGAGTCAAGATATAATGCACTTGCTGCCTGCTGGGAAAGACAATCGCGCTGTCTTGTCAGAGCTAGTGTCACTAGAATTACAGGCGTCGAGGGATGCCTTGAGCAGACTGTGACAGTAACTCACGACTTTGAATTTCTGCCTCTCACGAGGAAGATATGTCAGAGGAGGAGGACGAGGAGGAGGACGAGGAGGAGGACGAGGACGAGGAGGAGGAGGAGGAGCGCGATCTCCTCAGCTTCTCATTCATGGCAGGAAGCTAACAAACGAATCCTGTCCAGTGGTGTCGGGTGCTTGCGAGGAACGGAAGGTCACCACACCGGTAGTTTCTACAGTATTTTAGATGGTGGGGGTAGGTGTTGGGGTCCATCTACTTTTTTATATGAAATGCTTCCCGATGCTGATAGGGGGTAGGGGTACTCCATTAGTTGGGTTACCCCAGCGGTGGGTTGCAGACCTCTTTACCCCGGTGTGGTTGTCGTCTGTAGAGTAGGTGGGGGTGGTGTGCCGGTACAGAAACAGCCTGTTGGGTAGAGGTTATGCTATTATGATGGTGAGCCTCGGATTGATACTGTGAAGGGGGTAGGGGTTATCACTTCATCACTTGTACAAGGGGTTGGGTCCTTCTTTTTTGTTCTATTTCGGGGAACATTCATTCAAAAGCCGGACGGTCGCTAATTGAGGCAGACTCTCCGGCGACACTGAGTCCGCCCGGCGGCCGGACAGACCGACGGGCTGGGGCCGGCGTTGAAACTTCCGAAGTTCGGCCCGGCGGCCCGGCCCGGCCCCGGCGGGCCTCTCAGTGTCATACCGGGCCCCCGGGTGACTGAGGCAGCCGTGGCAGCCTCAGCCGACCCGGGGCCGGCGGATTCGAAACTTGAAATTTGAAAGTTCCTCAGCGACGCTCAGTGCCTCGCCGGAACGCCGGTCACCCGGTGCCGCAGGCCTGGCTCAGCCACTCAGCCAGCGACTCCGTGGCCGCAGCCCGGCCTCTGACCGGCGTCGCCGGGCCCAGTCTCAGTACGCCTGACGTACTAGTAGCCGCCCGCGGCCCCCCGCGGCCCGGCCCGGGGCGGCGCTGACTCAGTGAGTCGGAGGGCCGACGGACAGGACTGAGCCCGGCCTAAGGTAGTAGTACTACGGTACGGCCGGGCCTCCCGGCGGGGATAATTGATACTCAGGTTTACTCCGAATAGTTGGCAACAGATCGCGTGGGCCCGGCGCAGCGGTCAACCGATTCAAGTTCGTTTGCTGTTGCCGCGTCTGTCACGTAGTGATGGTCCGTGACCCTTCTGGTGCCGTGACTTCGATCGTGTTTAACTGAGATAAATGTTTTTCTCTCCGAGGCTCGGCTTTTTCACCATTGAACTTGGGGAATTGGCTGCGATCTTGAGACTCCAACTTTATTCAAAAGCCACGATGTTGTGGCTGCTGAAGGGGTCAAAGTGAAAGTCGTGACCCCAAGTCCCTGAAACCATCTCTTTTCGAATTCCACATCACGAGGAAAGCACTATTATATCTCGTCGCCCCGATCAGTCCGCCCTCTCGTAACTTCCCTGCTTCTTCTTATCCTCTCTCCCCGTCTCCCCGCCTTCCCCTCTATCCGTCATCCTCTGTCTTGTGACGATCCCTTGTTTCTACCTGCTGAAACCGAGATGAAGAAGCTCCTTGCGAGAAAAGAAGATGAATTCCTGAGCACCGCAAACCATCGTTGGGCCGATACAACTATGGCAATACAAGACGAGGTCATAACCGCACAACGACTGCCATCACCCGAGGCTGGCTGTGAAGCTACAGCTCCCACCTCTCCTTTATCTGAAGACCCTACCATTATGACAGGGCGGCCCATCGGATCCACCCCGACCCGGGCAAGGCAGTTGGAGGCACTGAACGCTGCAAGGATTTTGATAGAGGCGCATGCCATTGTGCATACTGCTGACGGGATTCCTTCCCAGCTGTAAACTACCTGCCATCAGATCAACCAAATGTACAGAGCGAGTCATCGACACCGCTGTAATTTAGGACAAGAACGAAATTCTCCAACGAAATTCTCCATGTTTAGAATAAATCCAGTGGACAAGGTAGAAATGTGTCTGGACTGACGAAGCAGACAGTTCAAAGTTTTAGGAAACGAGGAACAAAACGAGTGAAATGTCTGAAAAACGTCGTTTTCTACTTCTTTGTTTTGTCCGTGAGAATGATGAAGTCCTGGGTCACCTTGTATTCCTGCGCAGGACTCACTAACTTCCAGTTCTTCACATCAGCTCCGCACCTTCTGCAAGAACTCTTCCATGTCGTGGAGAAGGTTCCCTTGCAGGTTGACCTGTCGAGATAAAGTGTGAGTCTGGACGAAGCCAAGAGATAAGGAAAAGAAGAGTGGAGGAGGACATAGCGGAATTTCACCTCAACCCTAGTCTCGTTCTTGCCAGGGAGCGGAGCCACACTAGCGCTGAGAAACATTCCAAGTCATAGAGAGCACAACGACATGCGCCGGGGACAAGAGGAGTAAAGTTCGCATCCAACAACAGCAAGCAGATTCTTTAAAGAAAGACATTCATCTCACCTCGTGCTGAATTTCTTCTGAACAAGCTTTGCGAACGCGTCTGCAGGAAGCAACTCGATCAACTTTGTAATTCAAGTATGATGCTGATACCTGGATCTATAGACATGCTTTCCAGATTCCGAATCTAGATGGCACGAGACAGGTCAGCAAAGAACAAGAAGAGCAAGGAGAGGAGTAGCTCACAATGGTTGCAGCTTTCCGTCCTCCCTGACGATCTTCCACGGTGATGGACACCTGATTGTTCAGGTTCAGACATTAGCACCAAGTCACACTGTCTTCACTTTCTGCGGTTTGCCCTTCTTGATATGCTGCTGCCCATCAATCTCTACAGAGTGCCAATCCGTCATCTAGAAAGATTGTATCCTTGAGCAAAGATGTGCAACCCACTAGCAAATTTGGACCTGCTGTTTCATATGGTCTAGACATTTCTCAATCGTGATGAATGATCCCTGCAAATCGTCTTGAGCACTAGAAACGACAAAAATACAGGAGCCAAGCAATCAAGCATCATAACTCCATTGAGACAGGAGTACAACATGAGGAAAATCATCATCATCCCCATCATCGTTATCGTCCTCTTCAGATCGCAGAACCACCATTGCCAAGTGTGTCTTACCAAGGCTGGACGTTCCTCTTCCTTGAACTTCACATACAAGTTTGATATCATACACTCATCCACCTGAAGATCGTGACAAGTCGCATGGAGGGCACAGAAGAAGCGGATATCAAACCTTGATCTTTCCGTCCTCCAGCAACTTGTTTGCGTCACCATAAGCCTTGATTCTATCAACAACCTGCGAGAGCGTGAGTAACAAGAACCAAGAAGAGACTGAGACTGCATGTGAAGATTGAGGTGACAAGAACAAAAGATGATAGGAGCAGAGGAGCTTGCAAGCTGCATCCTTGACTACAACCCTCAGACTCACCTGCTCCTCAGTGTAGAAAGTGTCTTTCGTTCCTCCCAGGATAGGAACGAGGTTGTTGTTGGGCTTGAATCCCTCAATTATGCTTGGCTTACTTGACTTGGAGGAAGACCTTGCATCGGCTCCTCCTCCCCCCCCACTCTCCTCCACGGGTTCGTACGCAACCACATCCTTATGCTCTTTGTTGACCTCACTGACGCACTAGAGGACCATCAGCAAGGGAACGCAGATGCAAGATGGAGAGACGAGCAGGAAAAGGGGAAGAGAAGGGGAGGAGACGGAAGGAAGAATTTCTCTTGGTGCGACTTGGGATTCGCGAATCAAGCTCAGGACTCACTTCTTGCCCGAAGACTTTCTTGCACTTGAGAATCTTCTTCTTCTCCTGGAGGGCAATGAGACGACAACACACTGACGACTCCGAAGGAGCAGCACCATTGCGGTGAGAAACTTTCCCAGCTGCTTGTAAGAAGTCTGTTTGAAGTCTAACTTCATGCCTTCCGGCAGCACAGGCTGACATGGGAAGGTTAGCAGGCAACGGTGTAGAGAGGACGAGGTGTACAACGAGTTGTAAGATTGCATACCTGCATGAAGTTTGCAAGGAATTTCGATGTCTCGCAAGGCAGGTCGGAAGGCTGAAAGGTCAGTCAGAAGAAGGCGAACCAGAGGAAACGAAGTAGGTCAAAGCTTAGGTAGGAGAAGCAAATGTATGAAGACACAACCATGGGAAGATTCACACACCTGGATTCTGGTCTTGATCGCGCAAAGAAGCATTGCGTATGCCATGTCGTCTGGAGAAAGCGAGCCCCAAGCATTTCCTTTCGACTTCTCATTCGCAGGTGAGTCTAGCATGAGAAGAATCAGAAAACCATGCTAGGGAGAACATCTCCATATCTCAGTGAGTCGGAGAGGAAGCAGTTTACTTCATCTCACCTACTGCCAGGGTCTCCATCTTCTTCTCCATGGCAGCTTCTTCCTGCTTCTTCTCCGCCTTGTCGTTCTTGTCTTCCTTTTTCTCCTCCCCCTGCGTAAGACCGGCAGCTGAACTTGGATCGCCTCCTCCTTCGACCGGTTCCACCCATGCTCCCGAATCCGCAGGAGCACTCAAGAATCCCTGGAGAGGGAGAGATCAGACGGATGGGCAAGCACAAGTAGAGGCTTCACGGGTGGAGCAAGGGAGCTTCCACTTTCCCACAGCGAATCTCTGTGAATGGTTCAGTCAGGGCAAATTCTCTCTCTTGTTTCCCCTTCCATCTCCTTCTCCTCTGGGACGTACCTGTAGGTGTGAAGTACCCGCATGCATTTCCCCTTCATGCCTGATGAGATTGCGTCCTGTCTCAGCATTAGCATGCAGCTTGGTATCAGTCAGCGTCATAACCTTCTTGCTCATCAGCATGTCTCCAATGGCGAACGGCATTGGGTTGCCCACACAGTAGATCAACATCAAGTCTCCCTGAAGATGCCCATTAACGATTGAACGAGCTGTCCTTTGCCTCCTTCTCCTCCTGCTCCCCGTCCTCCTCCTTCCCCCTCTCCTCATTGTCCACTTCTTCACAGCCAGTACTACCACCATCGGTCGTTGAGTTGTACCTTGTCGAAGTCGGGCAAGTCTTCTGGAGTTCGCACAACACAGCCCTCCACGCCCACTGCACAACAAACATACTCAGCGCTCATCATGATCGCCTCACGAGATCAACACCTGCCACTCCCGGCAACATCAGGTCTGCTCCGTTCACCACGAACTTGCTTACAGGTGCCTGTGAACTTCAGTCATACCCTGTAAGATAGGTCACGAAGGCTCTGCCTGGATTGGCAATGCCGGCAGGAGAGTTGGGCACTTCCAGATGGCATATATGGTTGGAAACAGACTCCCTTTGCCTGCATCGGCTTGTCAACTCGTAGGCTCAGCCAATTGTGGCTTCATGCAGACCGCTGAGATCGCAGAAGTATGGTTCATCTTCATTGCAGTAAACCTTGACAAACCCATCAGTCAACCCCACCTTCTCGTTGCTCGAGCTCGGATTGAACTTACCAAAGCTTGAGGGTGTGGCTCTGAGAGCTTGACGATGTTTAGCTTGTCCTTTGCACTGAAAAAAGAATCCAGCACGCCCTCACTGATATCAAACTTCTTCAAGATATCTCCGCGGAGCTTGGAAAAATTTACATGAGGACCAATCTATCCCTTCGTCCACGGTACCTTCTTTGTTTCCTTTCCTCCCAGAGGATTTGAAGAAGCTTGCTTCACTGGTTTCTTGAACATACAGCTGAAGCATGAGAGAAATAAGAATCACGGCTATGAAACAATGAAATTTGGGATCTCTCAGCAGAGATATTCACAGTGCGTTTGAGGAAGGGCAGAGTTAAGGAAGTTTGGACACACCGCCCTCTCCTGTCTCATGTAGTAGATGCATGGAACACTCACAGCAGCAAATAGTCAACAACATTGGGGAAGTGCTGATATGAAGACTGTACGGGAGGCAAGACGAAAGAACCGCAGGTGACAACGAATTAGGAAGTGTGCGAGGAATTGAGAGAGGGGGGAGGTGAATCGAAAGGAGGGTTCAAGAGACGGTGTTGAGAATGAGAAGTTCGTGTAAGGGACGATGGAGGAGGATGCGGCAGAGGCGAGGGAGGGGGGTGCCTGCTAGGTGGGGCTGGGATCGGAGCATGAAGGGTGGAACTGGTTGTAGCAATATTGTACAAGGGGTGCTCATTTCGCAGTACCCGTAGTTTCTCCAGATGCCTATAGGCATATAGTGGGTAGGGTGATACAACCCCTCGTGTGGGTGGCACCAGACTTCTATCATCAAACAAAAGTTATTAAAATGTTGTCCCAAACAAATCATAGAAATATTTGTACCATAAACCACTAGTTTGTACTGAAAGTACAACAAGACTGAAATTTCTGTAAAAGAATCAAAATGTACAATCTTTAAAAGACGAAGCGACTGCTTCCCGGGCCCGCCCGGGCATCGGAAGGCCGGCAGGTCCGGAGTCCCGGCGGCCGGGGGGGGCGCGCCGCCCGAGGCCTACCAAAGAGGGCCGGGCCGGGGCCCGCCAGTGGCTGCCGTTGCCATGATGGCGGGTGGGAGGGATGAGAGCTAGAGGAGGCGAGGGAGACGGCATGGAGGAGGAGCGGAGAGGCGGCGGGGATGGCAGGATAAGGCTTCCCCCTGCGATCAGACCTGCTTCTACCCCCATCAAACCCCAGGTGCTCCTGCTGCTCCCCCGCCTCTATCGGTTGCCCCGGTGTGACGATGCTGCAGCAAGATGGCGAAGCCTTTCGCCGCATGCACAGCAAGAGCGCAGAACCGAGCTACCTGGAAGGTGAGACTGCTGACCAACCTCCTTGCTGCGACTCGGACTGAACTCCCTTTCCTTGATGACTCTTACTCCACCACTTATACTGCAGGAAACAAAGTCAGATGGCAGGATGAGCAGTACGTGAGCACAGATGCCTCCATCCCGTTGGACTTCCTGCAGGACTTCAACCCGAAGGTCTTGTGAAGGGCATGCACTGCCACTGCTGGTAACGAGAACCTCAGCAGGACCCAAGCAAGCCGCTGAGTCAGCTCACGAGCTCTGGTCGTTCGGTCAAAGTTCAGAACCGCGGTCAGATGCAAGCTATCCTCGAGAGGATTGCGCACAAGGGGTCAGGGAAGAGGCTCTCCAGCAGCCAGACCTTCCCTTCGATCGCAGCCAGCGAGAGCAGCATTGACGACATGCTCAGTCGCCTCTCTACTCAGTCAGGGGTTCCAACGAGGGAGGACGCAATCGCGCTCTCCCACTCCCTGTCCAAGATGGAGGAAACGATCCGTGAGAATCTTAACGGGCAGGACGCGGAGCAGCTGGCCAAGACGTCTGCCAGTGAGGCTGACGCAGACCGAGTCATGTCGCTCCTGGAGCCGAAGATCTACGCGGTGGACGTCGTGATGATCGAGCTGGTGCGGCAGGTGAAGGCCAACTGTCTGGAGCGAGGGCTGCTGCTGGAGCGATGCCGGTTGCATTTTCTCAACATGTTCTCCATCGCAGCCGTCACCATGAACGAGTGCCTTGCTCGCTTCAGAACAGAAAAGGAAAAGTCAACTCAGTTGGCTGCCCAGGTAGCTCCTCTCGAGGACAGCTACAACCTCGCTGTGCAGAAGATCTCTGCTCTAGAGCTCGAGCTGCAAACAGCGACGGAGCTCGCAGATGCACGGGAATCGGACCTGGAGGACCTGAGGAGGAACATGCAACGGAAGCCTCGGAATGACGACGAACTGCAGCGAGGGAAGCGAGAGAAGGCCCTGGCAGACAAGATCGAGGAGCTTCAAGAGATCAGCGCGATCTTGAGAAGCAAAGTCGAAGTGGCCGAGAATCAGATTCAGGCTGCTGAGAGGAATAATGCCATGCTGCATGTGCAGGTGCAGGAGCTGCAGGAGAGGATTCGGCGGGATGCAGAGAAGATAGACATAGCGAACGAGAGTATGGCGAGGTACAAGATCAGGTACGCCTGGCTCCAGGTCCTCCTGTTTGTCAGGAAGAGCAAGAACAGAAGCAAACTAGACGCAGCAACTCAGGACGGGGAAGGGCTGGACGCTCTTGTCAAGACCATCGACGAAGGAGTCTTCGATGAGAATGCACAGGGAGAGGGGAAGACCAAGGCCCTGGTCCGAGCAGCTGCTGTTGGAGGCGCCATGTCATTTCAAGGGTTCTGGAACGGCATAGTGAAGCAGGCAGAAGGGATCGATCTCAACGCGAACCCCGACCTCCGCATGACCAAGGAGAAGCTGAGTGAGGTCATCAGCACCATCTACACAGAGAAGGTGCTGGCGGATGAGCTGGACGACAAGCTGAGGATGCCGAGAGAGAACCTTCCAGAGTTCAGTTATGGATACTTCCTCGAGATGTTCGGAGACCCCTCTCTCGCAGAAGAAGCTCTGGTCAACCTCGTCGCCAACGTCAAGCTCTTTGACAAGCAATCAGCTCGCGTGCGCATGTTTGCGCGCTTCCTGCAGCTGGGAACAACCCAGCTACCTCTAGAGAGCCTCAACGTCTACCTTGCCTCCTTGATCCGCATCCAGAACGGTCAAGCTCCCCTCCTCCCTGACGCTGATAGCATATCCGTGGACTCGGAGAAGGCGCTCAAGGTGATTCAGTTTGTGTTCGCGCAAGCTCCGTTCATCGTCAAGTCTAAGATCATCATCGAGTGCGAGAAGCGAGCAGGTCAGCAGGGAAGGGGTTTGAGGCGGGTTGATAACTGCGAGCTTTCAGTGGGCAGGCAGATCGACCTTGACAGCCTGCTGCTGTTCATCGTGGAGAAATTCAAGGAGGAGCAGGGGAGGACGGAGGAGAGGCTCAAGGCTCTGTATGTAGCTGCAGACTCCAACGCCGACGGCGACCTTGACTTCAACGAGTTTGCAAACATGTGCAAACACACCAGCGGCGAGCGATCTCACCGTGAGATGCTGCGAATGTTCGCCGAGATGACGTTGAACAGGTGATGATGATGATGATGATGATGATGATGATGATGATGATGATGATGATGATGATGATGATGGTGATGATGATGATGATGATGATGATGATGATGATGATACGAGTGTTTCACATAACATGGTTGTACTATTATTCACTGAGCATGCAGAGTCGTGGATGCAAACACATTCGTGCGCGTTGCAAGAAAGTACAAGCTCAGCAGCTTCGGCATCGGATCGCTGAGCAAGAAGGTAGAGAAGAGCATCCACGAAGTCTTCGATCTGCTGGTTGCCGAGGTGCCTTGACCAGACAGGAAGGGAGCGTCTCTGACTGCTGGTCCGGTTGCAGTGGAAGAAGGTGGAAGACATGATCCTGGAGTATCTCGTCCTCTTGGAAGGATCCGCTGTCGGAACTCGGCTCGAAGAGGTTCGCCATACTGACATCCTTGCATACATGCCGCCTCACTTGCGCCTCCAGGACGTCGCGCAACTGAAGAGACTCTTGAACGAGAGGACGGATGCGGAGAAGGCGCGGCATCCTGCTGTTGGACTAGTTACTACGGCTAACCTCCTGACAGGCCTGGATGTCCTACCGCAAGGTGATTACTGAGTTCACGTCCGTGGTCAAGAACCGTCTGCCGTCGGGCAAGAGCGAGCAAGAGGAGGTGAAGCCGAGCAAGCAAGCGGCAGCCTCGACGACCAAGGGGAAGGGGAGGGAGAAGGGGGCCGTGAAGAGTCAGGGAGAGAAGGCGGCGAGCGATAGGTCGTTGGAAAAGAGGAAGACGATGACGGAGAAAGCGGGAGATCAGCGCTACTGACGACTTGACTGTTTCTTACAGCTCCTGTTGTGTGAATAGTTTTTCTGTACATAATTAATACATACAAGCGCGCATCCCCCTTCCCTCTTCCTCTTTGCCTTGACCTCTTGGTCGAGCAAGTATTAGCGCTATCCTCCTCCCCCTCCCCATCTCCCTCCTTCTTCTGCCGCTTCTCGCCCCCTGCTGACCACCACTTCCTTATCCCGCCATGGCAGCGATGCGCCCCAATCCGTCAAAAAAGTTTGCCAGTTGTCTGACCCTAAGAAACGGAGGAAGGGCAGGAGGAGCGGGGGGGGGAGGAGCGCACGTCGAAGGAAGGCTAGCAGAGGGGGTTAGAAGGAAGCAGATGAGGAGGAAGATCAATCACTTGCTGTGGCTGTGGCTTGTCTTGATAACTCAGAGCGTCTCTCCTCTCGGACTGCCGTCATCATCATCGTCGTCCAGGTGAGCTCAACCAAGGTCTTTCTCCTGTAACAAGGTCTGTCTTCTCTCGCAAGCCTGTTGACGGAGACACCTGCATCGAACAAGGTCAAACTGATCAAGACCATGGCTTGAGCCATCGACCTGACGCTCTCCAGCCCCCCGCTCGGCTACAGCTCTGCCCTGAGGCCATTGAAAGGACCCTGCTGAAAGCTCGAAGACGCCAGGAGGAGGAGGCTAAGGTGAAGCCTCTGACGACGAGCTGCGAGTGCAGGTCTTAACCCCCCCCCTCTTTCTTGCAGAACACCAAGATCTGGAGGACTGCTCGGGGAGTGGAGGTCGGAGCTGGAATACGTCGCCGCCGCATGCTGAGCTTCTGTCCACCAGATGCCGGATGATGACAAGAAGCTGTGCGAAGTGCTGGACGCATTCTTGTCCACGGTAGAATGGGGTGACTGCGATGCTCCCTGCCGCCGCTTCCCTGACGACCATGGAAGAGCTGGAGACGGAGGACAGCATTGCCGATCTCCAATCGCTCTCCTTCGAGGTCTATCAAAGGGCCCACTTCTTGAACCCGTTGAATCCGGAGTATGACGTCCGACTTGGGATGCTGGCTATGTCCACTAGTAATCCTCTGCACCCCTACCTTCCATCCCTCCTACTTTGTCTCCCCTCTCCTCTACCGTGCACTGACGACACCGAACCATCTCAAAAGTTCTCCACAGACAGGATGGAAGAAGCCAGAAGCTTCTTCGAGCGAGCACTTCGGCTGTGTCCTGGTGATGCCAGTGCAGCTCTTGAATGCCGTGATCGAGCTTGACCGCAGACCATCCCGTCGCGCTGTGTCAAATTGCCATGATGAAGGAGGCGGCAGGAGAGGTGCAGGAAGCCTGTGACTTGGTAGAGAGAGCAAGCACGAAATCTCCGAATGACACAAACGTTCTGGGCGAGCTCGGTGAGAACGGGAGACACTTGAATTTGTTTCACTTGTGTTTCTTGACTTGAATTTGTTCCTACAGCGCGACTGAACAAGAAGCTGAATCGCTACGACCGCTCCTTGCAGCTGTACCAGGAGGTGACGAGACCTTTTCCTTGCCGGCATGCTCACTCCTCGTCCAGTCCCTGTGCCTCCAACCAGACAACATGGACACCATGAGCAACTATGCGGCTCTGCTGAGCAGCATGAAGTCGAAGGGATTTGTCACCCCTGAAGATCCTCAGGAGGTTTTCAACAGGAGAGATCGAGGCGACCTGTCGGTGCATGTCTGATGGAGGTAGCAGGATTCTGAAGATGAATCCTTCGCAACTGGAAACGATCTGCAACTACGCTATTTACCTCAGAGACGAGGTCCTTGCCCTTGTTGGCGAGTTCGCAACTCATGTTAGAGCAGAAAGACGACCTGGAGGGAGCCACCTTCCTGTTGGAGAAGGCCGTCCGAGCCAATCCAGACTGTCACAGAATCTATCATCCTCTCGCGCAATGCTACTTGAAAGCTAAGGTATCGGCTCGATTCGTATGCAGCAGCCGAGCGACTGTGAGGCTCCTGGCAGGATTTCAAGACTGCGGAGGAAGCCCTCCTACACGCGCTGCAGCTTGTCCCCAGCGACACGCAGATGTTAGGAGCTTTTCTCTCCTTCCCTCAAGGTCAACGCAAAGGAGGGAAAGGAAGATGTCTGATACGTCGTCTCCCCTCGCACCAGGAAGCATCCAAGACCTGGAACAGGCATCTGAGAGGATCAATCAAGCATCGCTAGAGCGCCCTGCCGAGTTGTCCTTACGAAATATCCCATCTGTTGGATGACTGGAGCGTGGCAGTGATGAGCTCTCCGCTGTCAGAGCATGGTTCTACCTTTCCCACCTCAACGACAAGGAGGAGGCCGAGTTGACCATGGAGAAGGCGATCGGGCGAGATCCGACCAGTAACATGACGAGGAGGAGTTTGCACTTGCTGACATGCCTCAGACGTCCATCTTGCTGTTGAGTTCGGCCAAATCCTACTGGTGCATCACGATGTCTGAATGCTTCTTGTCACACCATATCTAGGAGTCCAGGCAAGATGGGGCAGAGGCAGCAGAAGCTGTCTTCAGGAACGCGGTGTTCCGACATCCAGGTTGCTGTGAAGGGGAGGGAAACGAGGAGTTCACTGCATGCAGATGATCCATATGCTCATTGCTGCCTTGCAAACATCTGCTGGATGTTTCGACGCGATAAAACGCAGGCTGCCGTGCACTACAACAAGGCGCTTGAGCTTGATCCATCGTTCCAACTTGCGAGGAAGTCAGTGAGAAAATGATTGTATTAGTGTTTAACCTCCAATGTGACAGGAACTATGATGAGATGATCAATGGCACAGAAGTTCATGTTTCTAGTTTACTAAATTGAACAAAAAATAAACCACAGTGCTACTGATAGATTTTTCAATAGGCCCCGCCAAGGGTAGAACGCTCAATTCGTGGAGCGACTATCGGTGGTTCTTACAAAATATGTTCTGGGCGGGGCCGCTTATGCGCCTCCGGACTTGCCAACAGGCTTGATATTTGTTTCCGGATCGAAGTGAGGAGCAAACGAAATGACCTTGTTGCTCTTGACTGTCAAGCAGTCATATGACTTCAGCTCGACTTCTGCGTTGTCAGCCAGCTGAAGCTTAAATTTGTCGTTGAGAGCAGCACTCCACTTGAAGGTGTAGATGACCGGCACGATTCCCTCGCTGATATCATCCTTTCCAGTAGACATCATGACGGGATGGCAGCCAGGCATGAACGATCTCTTGCAGTCCTTGAAAAGTGCCAAAATCTCCATCATTCCACTCTTATCTACCTTTCCGACGGTGGGAAACTCAGCCTTGATTTCGTCACCCAAGCTATCCTGAATCTTGTCTACACCATTATTCCACTGTAGGTAGAGCTTGTGCAAAAATGTGTCATCATCATCGGCACGGGAATCTTGCTTGAAGTCGGTTGGGCTGAACAACGGGGCAAACCATGAGCACTCACTCTTGCCAGAGAGCTTGAATCGGAGGTAGCCGGAGATTCTGGACTTGTCTCCAGGGGAAAGGGTAACCTGAGGGTACATCTCTTGCAGAGCGGAGGTCCACACAAAAGAGCAATTTTCGGGGCAGATAACTTCGATCTCGTCCTTCTTGCTTCGGACAAAGATGGGTTGAGCATTCTTTGGCATGGACCTCTTGGCGTTCTTGAAGCAGTCATAGAATGACTCGGACTTCTTCTTCCAGTCCTCGAACTTCTTAGCCTTGGGTTCTCCCGGCATCTCAACAGTGACACGCTTGGACATGAGTCCCTGGAGCTTATTCCAGTCGACTGGGGAGGTGAGTCCTTCAAGGAAGTCATCGATCCAAGACTTCACTTGAGCCTGATCAAACGTGAGCAAAACGTCTGCGTGCAAGTTGAGGGTCATACCTGAGTAAGAGCAGCCATTTGGGAATTTGTGTGTTTGGAGCAGTTCTCGGGAGAGCTAGTGGGTTCTCTTTCTGTGTGCAACAGAAGGAAGGAGGGAGGGCGGCAATCCGAAGGAGAGGAAGAGTTCTTCCAGAGTTTCACCAACCGTGGGTTGGCGAGGAGCGGATCGAGGATGAGGTCGAGGGCTGGCAGAGGATGTAGAAGTCAGGGATGGAGGGGGGGACAGGGAGGTGCAAAGGAGGGGGTGGATAAGGTAAGAGAGGTGGGTGGCGAGAGGGAACGAAGGGGGTAGGGGAGAGGAGCTTAAAAGGGGGTCGCATACATTCTTTGTTGACATAGGGGTCCTCAGTCACACAATTTGTCTAAAACGATGAAAATTTGTATTGTAAATCCAGAAAACTCGAAATTTAAAAGCACAAAGTGAAATTTGTGACCCCTACACGATAATGAAGTTTGCAGCACTTGGGGCGCATAGAGCTTCGATCGGGGGCCGCTAATATTAGAATATAAGCCAGATGCGCTTGTTACTGAAATTATTTGAAACGCCATTAAATTGCTTCGTTTCGTTTTCTAAAACTAATTTAGAGAGTTCAACCACGTATTACATATTTTTATGTATATGTACGATAGGTATGGAAAAACCTTCTTTTGGGGGAAGGACCGTATCTCAGACTCCATACCTAGATTGTAAGTAAAAAGGGGGTGGGGGTACAGAAAAATAATTGTAAACTAGTTGCGCCCCCCTGCCGTCGTCACAAACAAGGTATCTGCAACAATCTCAATCACCTCCACCCCTCCTTTTCTCATTCAGGGATTGGGGAAACCACCCCTTCTAGCTAGCGGCTGCTGTCACTATTGCGATTAGGTTTGGTGTCAGATCAGACTTGCGGATCGCAAGACTCGGGAGGGGGAAGGGGGTTATACTTTCGCAGGAAAGTAGGGGTCCTCATGGCCATAGAATGTTCCGACGATGCCGGTACTAGAATTTAGTTATCCGAGGTGAACGATGAGTCCTGCCAATCTCTGCCCTAGCAGCTGCTACTACGTTGGGCTAGTACGGGTACTCTGCTAGGGGTAGTCCGTCTCGACCAGTTGAACAGTTCACGGCCCGGATCACCGTACTACTACGTGACCTATGACCGGGTGACTGCAGCCGCCGCCGCCGCGTGGCCGTGAGGGCCCGGCATTCGGGCCCGGCCCGGAAACACTAGTATGTCCCAGAGATCTCACTTTCGAGTCGAGTCACTCCGACGTCGGAGTCGGAACGCTGACCGATCGGACCGAAGTCCATCATGGCATGCGCGGCCAACGGCCCATTCAACGGCCCCTGCCGAAGTTGAAGCCGATCATAACTTCGGCCCGGCTTCATTGAGGCTGCCACGGTTCTTCAAACTTGGCCGTGGACAGAGATGGTTTAATTCAATTCAAGATAGGGGAAATTACATCAGGAATACTTTACAGTTGTTTGCGGCCTCCTCAGGCACCACAATGGTTCAACACTTGTTGGTAAGTTGCATCTTCGTCTCGCACAAAGTCAGCGTCAAACTTGTAGTAGTCCGCGTTCCTGCCACGTGCCTAGTCACGCATTGCAGGCCAAAAGTGAGTGCAAGAATACTTGAAGAGGCAGGCAGAAACATCTAGCAGCCGTTGGGCGTCGAGTTTCCGCGAGCTGCTATCATCCAAATCGGTCTTGTATTCCTTCATCTCCTTTTTTCCTCGGCTGGCCCTGTGGGAGACTCTTAAAGACTGACAAATCTGGCAGAAATGAGATATCTCATACTTCCGCATTGACTCCTCATCAAACTCGTATTCCTATGGATCAAAGTCAGGAGGAAAATTCGCAGAGATACGGAACAGCCCAGTCACCTGTCGTTGAAGCTCAAGGTTCAGAGGGTTGTTCCCTTGAGCGTTGGAGTAGGAAGATGACTGGGCGGAAGCAGCCTGCTGCAGCTCTTTTGCAATCCTGGCTAGGAGGTCAGGCGCCTTTGACAGACCAGCTCCTGTCCCACCTTGCACGCTGGGACTTGTCAGCTTTCAGTGCTGCGGTCACGTTCTTGATTTCAGCCAGCAGTGACGCCGGGACAGGCTTCTTTTCAGATTTCAACTCGTTAACCTTTGGGATCAGGCCAGCAAGTTTCAGCGCTTCACGTCTGTACGCTCGGTCAGCTGCTTTCATCTCCTTGTTGGCCTTCAGCGTCGGCTCTTCTGCCTTGGCAAACGACACACGAACTTGCTTTCCCTCTGCCTTCGCCTGTTTCTCCAGCAGGCGCATGGTAGCCGCCTGCTTGATTTCTGCAGAGGCATCCTTCTTGGCTTCATGCGCGAGATGCATCATATCCCTCGCCTTCGCCAACTGATCTTGGCCGAGCTCCTTCAGGGCTTTGGCTTTCTTCTCAAGCATGATCACAAGGTTTTTGTTCGGCTCGACCAGTGCTGCGTATCTCGCGCTGTGTACGCCCCCCAACCGCGACTCTTTCACTGACGCCAAAGACTGCTGTCTCCCTGTACTCACTGATGTCATACTCGCCATTTTCTGAGCTTGATCGGCCAAGGCTCGGGATTTCAATGTGCTCAGGTGTTGGTTCTGGAGCATGAAGTGCTCGTCAATGTCGTCTGAGCGATTCAAGGCTACATGACTTCCGACCAGCGCGACAACAAACAACCCAAGTGAAGCAGCTGCCCACAAGCTCTTCTTCCTGGCGTTGCTGCTTGAGGTCTGATTTTGATCCATCTCCTAGTGGTTTAAATCAGCAAGCCAATCGATTCAACTTATATCCACTACTTCCAAAGAAAACTAACGGGACATCTCTCATCTATTTTTCGTCAGATGACAGGGAGGAACTTGTGTCATGTCTTAAACCTTCACCAAAATCAAACCAGTCTGTTCTGACATCAATCAAAATTATTAAAACAAAAATTTTTCCATCCCCACTTTCGAGAGCTGCAAGCTTCACAAACCACGGGGTTTGACACAATTGCTACAGAAAATCTCTCGCAGCAAATGCATCTACATAATTTGCAACCCCATTGGCCCTCACTCATGAAGCATCATCGCATTCCTACCTCGCCTCGTTCTTGAAAGAAACTCAGCGGAATCTGAAACTCCCTGCTGCATTCCTCCATCCCCCTCTTCCTGCTCATTCCCTGGAGATTTTCTCCCTCCCCACCTCTCTCCCCCCCCCTCTCTGTCCCATCCCTTCCCTTGTGAACCCTCTCTCCTCTCTTGCTTCCCGTTGTACATGATCCCGAAACTTTGAGTAAAAGGCCATCCCGAAATAGGCCATCACACAGGCACTTATACCCACCCCTTCGTTTGAACCACCTACGGTTTGCAAACCACCCGTCAAGAATCTGAGGTCCGCCTCGGAGAAAAGGACCAACTCTCGGTCCGGGTCCGCCTCGGAACTGGACAGTTCACTCAGTGACTCAGTGGCCGGGCATGCCGGGCCCGGGCTCCGCCGAGGCTCCCCGGAGTCCGGAGTCCGAGGCTGCCACTCAGTGACTGGGTCGGCCCGGGGCCGGGGGGGGGCGCGTGACTGATCGGACCGGCGATACTGAGTCGGGATGATCTGAGGCAGCTTGATTTGGGCAGGGCCGGTTGCCCTTCAGTGGGGCCTAGCCCGGCCCGCCTTCCGGACTCGGAGCCGCACTCGCGGTAGGCGGCCGGGCCGCCGCACCGGGTGACCGGCGGTCGCTGAGTACTATTAAATGTCACTGCCAGTGTGACTCCGGATGATTGCCGGGGGACCGCCCCGGTATAGTACTTACTCCGGACAGTCACCGTGAGTGCCGACCCCGACAAGCCCGGCCGCCAGGCTGTCCGATCGGACAGGCTGTCGGACGGCGGGCCGGGCACCGGCTGACGGCGTACGGTGCAACCGTGGATGCCGTTACAAACCCGTTGCGCAAGTTCCTTCAGCTTCACGTGCGATGGCGACGCGCGTGCAGTTTGAGAACAACAATGAGGTCGGAGTGTTTGCTCGCCTCACAAACTCCTACTGTCTGGTAAGATACCCGCTATGCTGAGACACAGAGGAGAGTGAGAGCGAGAGGCCATGGCTCGAGGAGGCCGTTGCCTCGTCGAAGCGTGCAGTCGTGCATGTTGCGGGATACTGGGTCAAGGTGTCTTGCCGATGGAGTTGAAGAGAAGTGCTGATGCGATAAGTGGATATGCTATGTGCTTGACGAATGTGTTTGAAATTTTGTGCTACCATTTGATGTTCCTGACATCAAGAGGCTCCTGATTGAAATGCTGATCGTGAACTTGATCCTTGTTTTTTGAAGCGGTTTGTGGGGTTTCAATTTCTGTCCATGAAGTGGACTGTTGTTGTTGTTGTTTATCTATGCCTGCGATCTTGATCCATGTTGTTCGTCATGTTGCCTTGAAATATTTGCCTATTTGCGGCTACCTCATCTTGTGCTTCTCTACAGCTGAGTGCGACGGTGCGCAGGTTGGAATCGGCGGGAGCGAGAACTTTTACAGCGTGTTTGAATCAGAGCTTGCGGATCACGTCCCAGTGATCCATGCCAGTATAGCAGGATGTCGGATTATTGGCAGGTTATGTGTCGGGAACAGCAAGGGGTTGCTTCTTCCCAATACAACAACAGATCAAGAGATGTTGCATATCCGCAACTCTCTTCCTGATAGTGTCGTTGTACAGGTAAGTCAACCCATCCTGATCGCAGCATGTCTCGATGTGAGGTACTGAATTTCCTTTCTCAGAGAATTGAAGAGCGGCTTTCGGCGTTGGGGAACTGTATTTGTACGAACGATTATGTTGCACTTACTCACACTGGTATTGTGCGGTGGGAGAGAGAGCGTTTTGTTGATGCAGCCTCCAGATCTTGATAGGGAAACAGAAGAAATCGTTGCTGATGTTCTCGGAGTCGAAGTTTTCCGACAAACCATTGCTGGGAACGTTCTTGTGGGATCTTATTGCTGCTTAACAAATCAGGGAGGAATGGTAACAGTCCTTTTCTCTTCTTTCTCTTCTTTCATATCCTTTCTCCCGCTCGTCATTTTTTTCTCTTCTTGTTCCTCTCCTTCTTCTTGTTGGCAGTGCGCAAGTTGACTTAGTCATCTGAAGGTGCATCCACGGACCTCAGTCGAGGACCAGGACGAGTTGTCATCCTTGCTTCAGGTTGCCGATGAGGAGCAGGAAGAGAGCGATTGACGTCTGCCGTCTCCGCAGGTTCCTATTGTAGCAGGAACTGTCAACAGAGGAAGCGATGTCATTGCTGCCGGCCTCTGCGTCAACGACTGGTCCGCCTTCTGTGGGCTGGTGCGAGTGTGTTGACTACGATGCGCTTTCTTGACGGGCATGCGGCAGGACACGACCTCGACAGAGATCTCCGTCATCGAGAGCATCTTCAAGCTGAGAAACGCGCAGCCAAGGTAGGACATAAGCAGAGGAGGAGGAGGAGGAGGAGGAGGAGGAGGAGGAGGAGGTGGAGGAGAAGGAGGGGGAAGAGGAAGGGAAGGAGGAGGAGATGGGTGAACTCGAGGGGCTGACTGATTTTGGCAGCCGAATCGTCACAGAGATGCGAAGCTCGCTCATCGACGCCATGCAATCATAATCTCCCACTCTCATCCCATGCCATTGAAAAAGAAAAAAGAAATAAAAAGATGATAGCTAAATCGTACTTGCTGTCTGTCTTTCTATCTCAGTGCTGATTGTTGGTGCTCTACCACGAGAAGAAGATGAGGTGCGCAGAAAGAATAGAGAGCACGGTATACACCTGAACAAAGAGTCACACGTCAAGACGAGGTTTGCAAACTTGTCTTACGGTGGTGGCTGAGTGTCTCAAAGGCTTCCCCTTGATGGGATGCTGAGACGTCTCGATGAGATCGTCAATGACTCGCCGTAGAAACCTGCAGATGATGTCACATAGGAGTTTCCTGCCTGCTGCCTGCTGCCTGCTGCCTGCTGCCTACTCTCTTATCGTCCTCCTCCATCACCTGATGGGCCCTTGCAAGGCCGATAGAACTTGATCACTCCGTGTTACTCCGGTGACGCACCACTGACTGGTCACAATAAGATTCGAGGAGAAGGAAGACTGACACATTAAGGCGAGGTGGGTGGTAGTGGCATAAAGACTGTCAACCGACCCGGCACATCCTGCCGGGAAAGAAGAAGCCCAACAATTCAACATGTGCAAGGGAAGAGAAGGCAGGGGCACATATGTGGTTGAGAGGCACGGAGGCAGAGCAGGAACGTGGAGAAGGGAAAGAACAACAACGAATCGGGGAAGAGGTTTGCAGAAACTTACGCGAAGTGCTCGCAGTTACTGAGCAGCAGGTTGTATCCTGCAAGCTTTTTAGTTTAACAACATTGATGCGTAAGTGCATTATGTCCACCTTTGTCACCAACTCTAGACAGAGCCCTGAGAACAAAACACATATTAGAGCTAGAACATGCGTGATAACATAACATAGCCATCAACACACAAGTCGCAAACAAAGAGAAAAGTTGACAGGCCGGCAAAATTTGCAAGAAAACGACATTCGCCATAGATTCAGTTCCGTTGGACCATACCTCTGCACGATGACATCTCGATTCAAAGCATTTGATGGACGAGGAACGATCTGGTTTCATATCAGCGATGATGCCGGGTTTTGCGATGTACGGAAGGTTGGAATAAAGCAGATCAGACGAGAAGGTACGAAAGAGATTCACATAGCGGTAAGGAGAAACCATCGATTACCTCTAGTTGAACTCCGTTTTGGTTTGCCAGCGAGAGGATAACTTTGATATGCTCTTTCTTGATACTTGCTCTCTTCAGGCACAAATCATCACCCCGCCTCCTCTGCCTCTTGACCCCGACACTCTCATACCAACCTGTTTGGCTTGCAGCGAAACATCGGAGTCAGACCCGCCAGTGAAATGAACAATACGGTCATCTCCGATGTAGATGGCGTGATGCGACATGGAGCTGAAGCCGAAAGCTCCCTTGGTCCGTATATGATCCCCTGCAAGCATCTTTCAGCAAGCGTTCCACCGTCTCTCTCATCTCATTCCCACAAACATCTCTTAGAAACAATCAGAGTCAACTTGCTCACCAGGCCTGAGATCGTTCACGAGGGCCTGGTTCAGCCTGGAGATTTTCTGTCGGATCTCTTCATCTCTTGCGTGCGCTTCTCTTTCTGCTGATTCCTGCTTCTGTTCCACAGTGAACCACAGAAATTCAACGCTCACTTGCTCACTTCGTTTCTCGTGATGTCCGGAAAAGTCCCGTCTTGTCGAAATTCAAAGTGAAACCTCGGAAGAATCTTCATCAGGTCGAGCTTGAAGGGCTGATCTTCTTTCTTTCTCGCTTTCTTGTCCTTCTTGTCGTTTTCCGTTTTCTCCTTCGACGACCTGCAAATCAATCCAGAATGAACTCCAGGGGAACAGCTCCCAACCATGTCACAAGCAAGACAGCCAAAGACAGCAAGAAGAAGAAAGAAGAAGAACGCGTATGATCATCAGCCATTTCATTTCTCTTATACAGAATGAACGTTAGCGGCTCTTCACGTACAGGTTAGGTCCTATCAAGGCGATCACTAGGGCTACACCCAGAGTTTTCCGCAGCACCAGTGAGACGACATGTTGCCCTCGGCTCCACTGACTGTCTTCCGGCACTGTCGCCCTTGCTCCTCCTCGCTTGCTGTCCTGTCTGGGCATGCCGATGAAGCTCAGGTCGTGTGGCCTTCCTCCTCGTAGCCGAGCCATGGCGAGCTGCGGGCGGGCACGGGGGAGAACATCTCCGAGCATGACATCACCATGTGCAAGACAGACGCACAACGCGATACACAAGAGCACACCCTTCATCCCTGCCGCTTCCTGCATTACATCTCCTGCAGGTCGTTCCAGCCAAGGTCTGGTTCCTCGTCCTGCATGCAGCTCTCGCATGATATGCCATTACCTGAATCAGCAGAGCGTCAGTTCACCACATACTATCCTCCCTCTCAGGATACTTACTGTTGTTTCCCCAATGTCCACCATTGTTCTGAACATGAGAGTCAATCCCTGCACTCATTGACGAAGAAACAATTCTCACATGATCACTCCAGTCCCCGCCAAGAAGAAACAGCTGTTGAAAACGAAAGAGCATGGCTGGTTTCTTCACCTCCCTCTGCCAGCCATAAAGTTACTGAGGTTATCCTCCTTCGAAATCTTTTGTTTGATGCATTCCAACATAATTCATCGAGCTCCTTCGTTTCTCTACTTCCACCTTCACTTGCTCTTGTCCTTTCTCACTTCTCTTCCTCCTCTTAACCTGCTCTCCTGCTCTCCTGCTCTCCTGCTCTCCTGCTCTCCTGCTCTCCTGCCAATGCTCTTCCCTGCTCTATCTCTTGCGCATGCTTATCCTCTCCCTGCATTCTTCCCCGCCTCCTTGTGAACAGCCATTTCCTCGATCACCCACCCCTTTCCCACCACTCACAGTCACAGCGAGGGGACCTTACAGTTGTGACATAACAGGAATCTCACCGGTGCATTTTCTTATATATAAGGAGGGTAGGGGTGGTCAAGAATGACTGGAACGGTGGGCCTGAATGAGACGAGTAGCGCAATGAAGTTTGATCAGCGCCAAAGCCGGGAAAGGAACTGAGGAAAGGAGAGGAGAGGAGAGGAGAAAAGGAGGAGAGAAGGGGAGACGAGGAGGACTAGAGGAGAGAAGAGGAGAGGAGAGGAGAGGAGAGGAGAGGAGGATAATAGGACAGGAGGAAAGGAGAGGAGAGTATGTTGATGTTGACTTCTCCGGGGGTTCAAGGGACGAAATTCATGAGGAGGACAGGAAGGGTTTGCGGCCCTTGGTTTTACAAGCATGGTGCGTTTCTGAGTATCAGCAGCAGGGTCAGATGGAGACGAACGTATCGCAATGAGGAAACTGCATACATCATGACAGGCACGACAAGGCTAGTAGAGTCCTTCAGGTGACTCCCGATGATGACTACCCCTCGTTGGGCCCTTACTGACGGTGCTGGCGATCAGGGAGATTTTCTCCAGTGAAGTGTTGCTCCTACGAGCTCCCTTCTATCTCTGCGCGCTGCTCGGCGTCTACTCATGGTCCTGGCCGAGCCCCCGAGGACGGCTGAGCGCCATGGCTGACCAGGCTCGCAGGTCCTTCGGCTGGCTTATCATCCTCGGGCAGGTGTTTGTATACGCAGTGATCAGGCCGAGGTGATGGCTGCCACGCTGATGATGACGCCTGCTCCGTGCGCTGAAGAACATCTGACGAGCAAGTGCAGGAGAAACTCTCTACCGAAACTTTACAAGGAATCGACCAAGAGATTGTCTGGTACCCAAGGGCCTGGAGTACGTTGACATGCTGACTTGTGTGCCGTGGCAGAGAAGCGATCGTTCTGCCACCATGGCCGCTGGTACAAGATGGAAGATGAGAGGGACATGATGTCGCCTGACAGTGGTTGCTGCAGGATAGATGGATACGAGCACGTCACGCGTGAGGAGGAGGAACTTGAGCCGCAAGGGAAGTTGCACCTGTCGGTCATCGGTGCAAAGGTGAGATGGAAGAAGGAGGAGGTGGTGGTGGTGGTGGTGGTGATGGTGGAGGTGGAGGTGGTGGTGGTGGTGGAGGAGGAGGAAGTTGACGTGAGGACACTGGCAGGGGCTGAGATCCGCTGACCGATTTGGAACATCCGATCCTTACTGCAAAGGTCATGGAAGCCAAGGGGGATCGAGAGGGGCGAGGAGGGAGAGGAAAGGAGAAGGGAGGGGAGATAAGGGGAAAGAAAGGAGGAAGGGGAGGGGACGGGGATAAGGGAAGGGAAAGAAAGGAGAGGAGGGGAGGGAGATTGAGGAGCGATTTTGACTTTGTTGGACTCAGTACTGCTGAGACACAATGGAATTGACTCTCAGAGTCATGAGACTCCCGTCTGCTACCGCGACTTGTCGCCGAGCTGGCACTCGGCCGACTCTCTTGCATGGCAGTTTGTGGTCGTCGAGGAGATGGTAAGAGTCTTCGTATGGACCCTTCACGGCGTTGTATCTGCAGATGCTGATCTTGTAACTTGTTCTGAACTGCAAAGTTGCTGATCTTGTTACTTGTTCTGAGCTGCAACGATCAGGACAGCCAACTCCACCTTGAGATCTTCGACTACAACAAGATCATGAAGCACACGTCCCTGGGCTACGTCGACATTCCTATCGAAACTCTCCGGACAGGTCAGTGTGCAGGCAAAGTTTGATGATGACTACGGGACGGGGAGATTTTGCTGTGCTGATTAGATACTCGCTCATGTCGACGATTGTGAGTGATTGTTGAAACTGATATGGAGCCTCAGGTGAGGTAGAAGAAGTCGAGCACAAGCTGTTGGTAGAGATTGAAGTCAGACTATGAGGGCCACGGCGAGCTCATCTCCCTTGTGCAGGGGCGCATTGATGGGAAGGGAAAATCGGCGACAGGGAGCGTGACGATCAAGTACAAGTACGAGCTGCTGCAGAACGAGTTTGCAGCGACGCCCAAGAGGAGGAACTCTCAGAGGCTCAAGGCGAAACCGCTGATGCAAGAGCAAGAGGTGATGAGGAGAGGAAACGAGCATACCCTTCCCTCCTTGCCTCTTGTTTCATGCTGGTCTTGTCTTGTTTGCCCTGCCTCCTCTTGTCGACAGGTGCTTTCATTGTTGCTGTCTTACGCATCTTCACAGCCTGTCGCAAAGCCTTCGATGTTGGTGGTGATGTCGTACGTTGTACTGGAGACCTACGCGCATGTTGCCTGCGGGATGATAGGTAACGACGATTGCTACTACCGCTCCTCCGTTACTCTTCATGTCTTACTCCACTTGTCCGCTACTCTTCTTGGAATACCTGTTTGTCTGCTCTCCTATCTCTTCTTCAAACCCCCTTCCCCCGTCCCACTCGTCTCTCACTCACTGTCTGTCTGTCTGTCTGTCTGTCTGTCTGTCTGTCTGTCTGTCTGTCTGTCTGTCTGTCTGTCTGTCTGTCTGTCTGTCTGTCTGTCTGTCTGTCTGTCTGTCTGTCTGTCTGTCTGTCTGTCTGTCTGTCTGTCTGTCTGTCTGTCTGTCTGTCTGTCTCTCTCTCTCTCTGCCTGTCCGCCTCAAATCCTATGCTACATTAATCCTATGCTACATTTACATCTTTGCGCTTCTTGACCTTTCACGCCAGCTGCATACTTCTTCGGGCACTACAACTTTGACATTCTCCTCCTTGCGCTTATCGTAAGATCGACGCAGCCATGCAGAGCTGGTCTCCTCCTTGACGTTCTTTGCAGGTTGAGATGCTCTTGCTGATGGAGATGAGCTGGAGCTTTCTGGATGTTCAGTGTTGTGCAAACATCCCCAGCAACCCTCTGCCCGTCAGCTCCAAAGTCTGTCGCGCTATCGACGTGAAATCGCATCATTCACGAGTTCGCTCTGCCAGGAGTCCGTCGAGCTGTTTTCGAGGCTCCGCAA